TTGCAGGTACCTGCAGGCTTACCAGTGATCCCAGTGAGAAGTACAGGGCTGGCCAATTTAGCACTACCTCTCCCATCAGGCAATTGTGGGGCTTGCAATATGTCAAATGTCAAATGACTTAGTAAATGGGCTTGCAAGAAGAACAGATGTGTTTCATTCTCATTCAAGTAATACAGAATATCAACAATTTCTTTGCCATTCCAAATTTAAAAAGGTAGATTTTAAAACATACCAGAACACATTTGGAAAATTAGTCATTTTCATTCAGACCTAATAATTATACAACAGTTACTCAAATTATTCAATTATGTTATGAGAGGTTACAATATACTTCTAAAAAATGCATTTGCATTCCTCTTAACATCTTGAAATACATGCAAAGAAATTGACTTTTGAGTTTGAATATGTAAAGGTGATGAGTGAGTGCATACAGGGTCACCAGCATTCATCATATTACATCCGTGCCCTGGCTCAGCGAAGAGGTAACAAACACAGGGAATGCTAATGCAAGGAAAGTTGCAATGTTAAATCGCTTGGACATTTCAGGGTCTATCAATTCATCACTCTTATGACTCTGGTAAAAACTGCTTATAACACCGTGATCAACCCAGACATGAAAACTATCTGCAATTACTCAATCACAGCATTCTTAGGTTTTGAAGGAACTCCATGTACGATAACTTCTACACAAGAAAACAAGTATTAACACAATCAGTCATCAAAGAAAACCTAAAACTCTTACAAGGCTGTCAGGCATCCCTACAATCGGTAGAATAATGAATCAATTTTGCAAACTATAGTTTGCACATGAACAACCCTTGATTACTTTATATGAGGGTATTTTCATGGGGTATCCTACCTATGTCCCACATTCAGACATGATAGGATTTCTCACATTTGGAAATGAGACACAAAAAAGCCTGTGGTCTTAATGTAACAACAAAGTCACTGAAATTGTTCTTTGCTCAACACAGAGCTCATCTTGGCACTACAAGGATGACTCAATCACTCCAGACTATTTGGTATGAATAGTAATGACCTGTTGTAGAACAAGATCTTAATCCAAACACGGGATAGACTGGTTAGACATAGAAGTCAACTATAGCCAAATAACCACGCCTGTTCAGGCAGGTGTCTTCCAGACTGAAAGTAAAAATGAGGTCTCTGTGCAGTCTTTATTAGTTTATGCACAAACTGCTTGTTTAAATGCTAACAAAAGACAGAGATCAGGTCTTAATTGTACGCTTTATCCTTATCACACTTTCTTTTAATGACCTTAACAGCAACAAATATACAAAACTAAAACAAACAGCTGTATTCCTTTCTTTGATCTTTAAGATGGGGTTGCATTTCTCAAATTTCTGTGTGCATTTGAAATTGACGTTTCAGCTCGGCTCAGATTGCCCTGAGGCCAACAAACTAGGTTTATCAACGTAAAAGCAATATTGCAATGTGTTTTTGCATTACAGCAGATACTTGCTACAGACAATCAAAATGAACTATAGGATTAGATCAAAAATCATTTCCTCCCATTTGTAACAGCATTAATAATACCCTTCCAGAGGCTAAAAATCAAACTTTTTCAGCAATGAGAGGTCATGCCACTTGTTTTTTGTACTTCATTATATGCCCACCTGATATGGAATAGTTGATTGTTCCTGTTGTGGCTCACAGTAACAAATTATGTATAGATAGCAAGATGTGAATGAGGAAGGGCAGATGTGCTTCTCTAACCCATCAAGTCATTCATCTTTTAAAAGACTGCAAGCTCCACAACAACAGACAGGAGAGTTGTGGATGAACAGTGTGTCTCTTACTAAAGTCACTACAAGCCAGCTCATGGGAAATTGAAGGAGCCACTGTATCACTCAGACCCCTAGTTAACTAATCCCATCCTTGTTGGTGTTTTGCCAATTACATAGCACATTTTCAGGAAATACCAGGATAAGCTGACTAGTGACATGACCTGGGTTCAAACCTATGACACCACATAACATCACCGATCCTAGAGTCTACAGTATGCAGCTTGAGTCACTCAAAAGTGTTGCTTTTTTAACCTCAAGAGAACTATTAAGAATGGAAAAAGGGAGAGTTTTAATGTCATATGTGAAAATGCTTTAAGTACAGACACAAAGCCTTTTGTATAACAGAGTATATTTAATCAACAATCTTAATTAACTTTCCCAACTCCTGCTAACTCTCAATTCCCATTTCCTCTAGATACATTAACTACTTTAAAAGAAAAGAAACGCACATCTTACAAAAACAGACAGCCTTACCATCTATTCTCAAAACAGCTTTTCTTGTAGGGTTCTGTATTCTGTTCAATGTAATAAACATGAACTATGTGAAAATTAAAAGGTTGGGACATTAATATTATACACAAACGTTATAATATTCAGCATTTAAAATAGACAACAATGGGCTTTTGCTTCAGGCTGGCTTTATTCTGCACATGGGGTTATGTTAATGCGTTACAGACCAAAAAAAATCTTCCCCATGGTTCATTTCAGAACAGAAGCTGAAAACTAAACTAATGCAGATCTGAATCAAATTTGCATCTAGAAAAAGAAGTAACATTTCTAAAATTTGCCAAATAAAACGTACAATAATTTCATCAAATTAAGTTGTAGCCACTTAACACTGAACTCTTATTTGTCAGATGTGTCTGTGTTCATAAGTGATATACTGTAGTTATCAAGCATTCCACAAGAATCCCCCAACAATAAGAATATTTATATACTCTCATTTCGGCTTCTGACATTTTCCCGATAAAAGCTCGCATACTAGATTAAGCTTTGTTTCCGTGTATTTGTCAAAAACTATTAACCATTAAGGGTAGTCTAAATACAATATTACAAAGACGTGCATGTTATATGAAAGTAACAAAGTATTGATAATAATAATAATGAGAATTACGATAAAATTGTGTTATTTCAACTGTTATCTTTACAAATAATATCAATCTCTTTGAATGACAGCTTTCATTACTTTGGTTTACTTTTGTCTGTCCTTTATGATCAATATAAAAATGTAAGGCTTTCACTGTACATAGTACACACAATATTAGAGGTGGACTGTGATGCCTCATTTGCCAGTAAAATTGCAGTCCCTCACTGGACAAAATTACTATAGATCTGCCATTAACCTTTTTAGCATATTCGGAATATACATTTTTAGAGTGCACACGATAATTCATAAATGACAACTAAAAACATTCCTCAGAAATAGAAAGGTTGAAATGTTTTGTAGGTTTTTTTTGGGAGGGGGAGGACAAACTAATCAGCCCCACCACATTAAGTGTAATATGGCAAAAAGCAGAATACAGTGAATAAGATGCCACTATCAAGAGTGTTTTGTGCCATTTTGCAGTTTTTGACTTGTGATGTAACAGCCAGAACTTTGATTGCAAATACAAAGTACATGTGTTATTATACAAGACATTATTCATCTTAGTAGTTTATTAGCTTTTGATTAAAATTCAAATAGAAATTGTTATTGATGGGACAATATTTTGGATGTTTGCATTTCAGGAACAGTAAGACAAAGGTTACACATCACCTCTTTACCATAACAGTTCAAGCTAAATTAAACCTTTAAACACTACATGATTAACAGCTCTAAATTCATCAGGTACTTCACAATCTGCATTGCACTATTATATCACTGATCTTCTAAGACAGTAACATGCATGATGGAGTGCTTCTCTTCATTTGCACTTTTGTTTTTGGAATAATTTTACATTCCAATCTCAAAGTACTAATCCTAGCCTTGCAGGTGGGAATTCCACATCATAATGGGTTTCTTATCATAATTATTTCCTCTGCTTAGCTACCTTCTACCATCCAGCATTTCTGTAATAAGACAGGAAGACAATTTGCCAATAATGTCTTTTGGGAAAGCAAAACATAATATTGGCACAAAGACAGAAAAATCTATTTTTGAACATCAAAAACTCAGATAACGTTAAGAAAAAATGGTGGTATATAAAAAGTCATGTTGCATGAACACTTTACTATTTAAGTCTTTTACTTTGAGTACATCAAATTTATTAAGTTCTAATTCAAAAGATAATGAGAAATTTGGAACATCAGGGAAACCCTTAACAAAAAACACCACGATAAGCCAAAAAACAGACTGCTTAAAATTCTGGTGTATTGCTCTTTCAAGTGGTGCCATCAGCATATTTTCAAATGCCCAGTAATTTCTTCATTGACTCCAGCTGAATCACCAAGCATTCACTAGAAGCCATTCAAAAAGGAATCAGTTTAGAAATGCTGTTTTTACAGCACCCCATGTCAAAGCTGAGACAGAAATAGTTAAGTAAAAGGGGACAGAAAATGTGAAATTTTAAACAGCAGAGAATAAGTCAAAATCACCTTTTCTGTGCAGAAGATCAGGAATAATCTGTCAGGCAAGTTAGTTTGAAAGTAGCATTGAAAGATAAAGCAATCACTACTGTTACAGCTTAAATGTAGCATTACTTATTCTTAGCCACTCACTGTTATTTGTTCCAGCTGAATTGGTTTCTTTAACTTCGTAAAGAACACAAGGGAATTAAAACACAATCTGGCTCATTCATAAACCTCACTTTGTGTTTTAATGACAATGGATCACCATTAAGCTGCAACCTTTACGAAAAAGCATATAATCATACTCTGCAACCCCCTCATCATTTTAATATTTTAAATATTATGCATAATCTTTCCAGAACTGACCTGGCAACCCTGAAAACACCAAAACAACTTAGCTTTCTAGTCACAGGTCGACCTTCAACAAAAATGTACATTATATAGAAAAAATTGTGGTTTTTGTAATGTTTTGTTTTATCCTCTAGGCTGCGTACATATGTACAATCAAAGCTCCTCTTATACTTTACTATGACACAACAATGTCAGCTTGAGTCTCCACAAGAACATGGAGGTATAGAACCTTAAGAACAATGGCAGCAAATGGCAGACCCCTAAAGGCATTGTTGTGAAAATGTAAAAAAGCCAAACCTTTGAAGCTGAGTCCTTGAGTTCGTTGAGATTGTCCTGTAGGAATGAATGGAGATGACAGATGAGCTGGAACAGTTCTCAGAAACCAAGAAGTTGGGGGGGGAGGCTGATGTTCACTCTGCACATCCAGATTGACCTTCAAGGACTAAGTCTTTGACATCGTTATTTGGAGAAGAAGAAAAGACTTTCAAAAAAAAAGTTAATCTGGTTTCCAAATCTAATATCAGTGTCTGACTCTTCATAGTCTGTGTCTGTGTAGTGTTAAATTTCTTTTATAAAAACATATATACAAAAATTGCCCTGAGACGTGAAATTAATCTGATTTTTGTAAAACCCTCACGCGAGTGAATGTGTTACATTTACAGATCTTCAGAAAAGCCTGATGAAAGGTGTCCTATCAAATTCTGGTTTTGGAAAAAAAACTGTTCTCACTACATCCCTATCAGCCCAGAGTAGTGTCTTACGTTGTGTTATGTTGCTGTGTGAAATCAAGGCTGCTTTTGAGGTGTTTTTGTATATTTCACTTTATGAGGGATGAATGCATGAATTTAGTATTTAGGAAAGTGTGTCCTGGTGATGTAGTTTAATTTCAACAATATTAGGCAATGTTTTTTGTTTTACTTTTTACTTCCTTGCTAGTGTGCTTTGTGTGTAATTTAACAACTTACAGCTCAAAATGGTCAAAATATGGGAAACTCAATGACTTCTTGAGTGTTAGGGAATATAAAGAAATTTTTTAAAAAAGCTCAGTGGAGTAGTTGCTATGGAGATCCTTCCAGAAGGCTACGCCCACTTTCTTTGTTGTTGTTGGCTTTTGTTTTTTGCTGGTGGTATATCATGGCTTTTTCTTGGCTTGCTGGAAGGTCTGGCTGCCTTTAATTTCTAATGCAGGCTCACAGGACTGGCACACTTCAAACCCTCTTGTGGGGAAGGTAAAAACATAAGGCTGCATGCTGACTGAATAATGCAAGACAACTACAGGAGAAGCAATCACGGAACTTGATTTCTTAAACGAAATTCCTTCTCAGAAGGCACTCTGCGGCGGCGCACTCATCCTGGCTCCCTGCTGTATCCAGAGATATCCGGGTAAATTCTGTGCACAATCCAGGAAATCTTCATCAAGAAACATTCTTTAATCTCAGCTTGCAGGAAAAAAATTCAAATAAAAATGCTCCACTTTTTTTTCAACTGGGAAGCCGTTTTGCTTGAAGCAAATATCACACTCCAAAAATCAAAAAGGAGGAAAAAACAAAATGTACAAAAATGACTTTGCAAATTGTAAAAAAAATATTCAGGCACTTCCGAGATAATTTTCCTCCACGCGCTCTTGAAAACGGTTACACTCAAAAAAGGAGCATTTACTATATACAATATTCTGCTAGGTCCTTGAAGGTATTTTATTATAAAAATATTCATTACAAAAACATTGTCCATGAAATGATTTTTTCTAATCCTCTCCCTTTAAAATAGGAATCCAGAGGCTCCAGTGCGCTCTTTCCATCACCAACTTGAAGGAAGACGGACACTTGGAAGAACACTCGTTTTCCAACCGGAAAGGCAAGAAACGTGGGCGCTGCCTTCCTCAGGCTATACTAACCTTAACAGTGGAGGAATGCGATGGTGAAGAGTGGGTGTCAAGTTTTCGACGCTTTAGTTCTGCAATAAATAAATCAGCATTTATTAATTTGCCTGTTTAGATGAAATTTACACTTTTTAAAAGTCATTTTCTTTCTCCCTCAGCTACACAACCAGGATCATTGTAAAGCTTTTCAGTAAAAAAGGCAAGTTACTATAGTGATCTTTTTCATTGAGGGTGATCAACGTGTTACCAATTGAAGAATGAAACAGTTTAACCTGTATATTTATCCCATACATTAATTGTCCTTTTTAAAATATTGATTTATTCTGGTTGATTTCATAACTTAGACTGATCTAAACATCTTCACTCTGAAAAGGTTTCTAAAAGCCTCTTTACTGCACTTACCCCTCTCAGACTCTGAGGACTCCGACCGGGGAACAGGTGACTTCAAGGACCCAGTAGCTGCAACCTTTTCACCTTTACTGCTCTCCTTGACTTTGGCTTCCTTGGCTATATCTCTTTCCTTGGACGGCTCCTTGTCAGCAGAAGATCTGAACTCGGTGTTGCTGCTCAGCTTGACCTTGTCATCTTTGCCGGGTTTCTCATCCTTTTTGAGTTTCTCCTTTTCCTTGTCCGCCTTGGGTGTTTTCTCCTTGGTCTCCCGAGCCTTGTCATCTTTGCCCAACCTCTCTTCCTTTTGTTTTTCCTTCCCTGTTACTTTGGCCTCTGGAGTGCCTGCTGGTGTTTTCTCCTTCTTATCCTTACTTTTCTCCTTCCCACTTTTTTCCTTGTCTTCCTTCTCTTTGATAGCCTTAGTGCTGCAAGACATAATTGGCAATGTTCTTTTTGCTTGGGCAAACAATATTTCCAATGTTTCTATTAAAAATAGTTTACCAACAATAGGTAGTTCTCAATTTACATGGCAGATACACTCCTAAAGGATGCCTCATACCTCAAAAACACTAATTAAAAAATGATTCTCCTTAAGAATGTATGTAAATAGGGAGATGTATTCCAGGTCCACCCTCATTAATAGGACTGAACTTCCAAATGCAATCAGTTCTGTAAAATTATTCCTTTAAGATGTGAATACTGGTGTGCTAAAAGTCATTTTAAACTAAATGTTTGTTAAATGTTAATCAATTTCACATAAACTACAAAGGGAAGACTATGTCAGTCGTGCTTAGTAAAACGTATGAAAAAATCCCCACAGGCACGCCTGAAGTCATTAGCTACTTTTGTCCCTTAACTCTTAGTGAACCTTTTAACATTGACTATTTTTTAAAATGTACTGAACAATTAAAATTAATTCTGTGACTACTAAAGACAACTGGCTACACCAGAGCCTATTCAGATGTGTCACAGCAGAGGGGGTGAATACTTAAGACATCTTTTTTTTTCCATTTTATATATAATTAATTCAAGAGGATCAACAGAATTTTGTTTTTCGCTTCAACATTATAGAATGTTTTGTGGAATAAAATCCTAATTACATACAAAATGATTCCAAGCTGTAACACAACGCAATGTGGAAAACTCAAAAGGCGATGAATACTTTCATGTACTATACATTTACATTGATAGCCAATGTAAGTTTCATAAGCACCACTCCTCTTAATACTTCTATAAATTTAATTTACGAACACCGGATCTAAAACAGAACCTGTTCTTATTTTATAGTTTTATTGTTTATTTATGTGATCAATAGACATTTAAAACAGAATCCATTCTGTTATTTAAAAAAATAGAAGTATACTGAGGTTTAGAACTGATTATTTCGAAAAACATTTCCCAAAACAAAATGTTATGTTTTCCACTACAGGACAAAACGTCAATGTTGTTTCATGAGAAAGTCTTTTTTTCCCCGATATTAAATCATGTGTGATAAGAATACTAGTTTTATTGTTACCTGTTAGGAGCACTGTTTCCATTGCTGGTGGTGACTTTTGTAGTTGCACTGTTGGTTTTGTTTGCAGCTTTTACAGGACCCTGGGATTTCTCCTTCGATTTATCTGCAACAGCAAAGAGCACCTTTGTGAGAGCTGGCATCCGTTAGCATCTCTTCCCTACTTTAAAAAAAAAAACTGTGTATATTTATAGTAACAGCACAAATGTACAATGGTTAAACATTATGGCTTAGCATGTAATTTTTTTGAATTAAGTACTAAAGCTTCTTATCCCATCATTGAAGAATGTGATTCTTTATGAGATGAGATTCAATTTACAATGGGTGCAAAAGATTAAGGACAGCACTTTGAGGAAAGAGCAAGATTAGGGTTTACTTACATCTGACTTAAATGTCCAATCTTAAAACGAAATAGAAAATTCATAAAATCTAAATGAAATCTAGATGGGGGTTTTAAAGATCTGAATTATTTAAACATTTATACCAAAAGCTGCTTCCCGACTTTTTACTTAGACTTGTTTCCTATGGACAAGAATCGTAGGCACCAAAAAAAAAAAAAAAAGAGATAAATGCTTTGGAGAAATAAAAAATCTAAACTTAACACCACAAGAACCAGGGGATGTGATATTTTACATTGCTTGTAATTAATACTTGTAGAATCTAATCCATTCCGGGAGTGTTCCAACAAATGTTTAATTACCAAAAAAAAAGTAAAATAAACAGTCAATCTTCCCTACAAAATTGCCTGATGCAAATCCGTCATGAAATCAGAGCTATTAAATCTCTCTTCAATTTTATGACCAAAAATGACCAAACTTTGACATTTTTATTTAATACATAAATCTACAACCATTTTATCATATGATAAGCCTGGAAATGCAGTGTTTCTCTGTGTTCTAAAAGACTGCCTGGCACCAAAGCTAACCCAGTATGTGTGTGCTGTAAGGCAATCCACCATACTAGATATACAGACTCTAAGTTTTGAAGCTTCATGTTTATAGCACTCGTACCTGTCTCCTCTGTGACTCCCTCTTCTGGTTTGCCAGTGGTAGCAGTGGTGGCTGCAGGTTTGCCTGCACTGCCTGGTCCATTCTGGAGGTTAGCAGGAGTGGCACTCCTCACTGGCTGCTCCTTGTGGTGGAACTCGTTCTCGGGGACCATGTATGGTTTCCTGCTTTTCAGTTGGCCAGAATAGCTGCAAGTCGCACAATTGGTTAAAAAAGGCACAAACACAAAAAAAATCAAAAGGCATTACAACCGAAATCAACTTGATGTTAGTAGTCAAAAAGGAAGTACCAACAGCATATTGAGGTTTAGGGATATTTACAAGAATTCTCATTTTAGATTTGTTTGGGGCCATTGTACTACATATGACAGGAAAAGGTAAGAATTAAAGGATAAAGATGATGGGGAAATGGAAGGCTTTTTTCTGCTTTCTATTGAATAAACTGGAGAAGAAAAAAAGTCAGACAAATTTATTTGCTTACATGTGCCATTAAATTTAATGACTACCTTTTTTTCTACCAGCTCCTGTGCAGACTTTATTATTGACTCTGGATACCAGTGAAAGCACAGTAACTCTTAAGTCTTGTTTAGGTTAGAAATGATCAAAGGCTTTAAAAGCTTTAGACAAAACTAGTTTACATTAGAAAGTACCCTTATCTAAAACTGAAAGGCGTGTGTTCAAAGCACCTATCAAGACTCTATATAGCAGGAGATGTGTATGCACACATCAAGATTTCATAACCTTTAATAGACAGCAACAGTTGCATTTTTTCCATCAAATTTAAAAGACAGAAACAAATGTGCTTAAAGCACAGTTTACTGTTTTTCAGCTGGTTGTCATGGAATGTTTAGGTTGCTAAGGGAAGAGTTATTTTAACTGCAGAGAAGCTACTGGTTTAAGGTATAAGAACTGAGAAAATAGGTTCGATTTCAAACAATACAAAAATACCATGGCCAAGAGAAAATATTATTTATGATTTCAAATTAAGTCCTTTCCATAATTTTAGGAATTAAAAATTAGTATCCTTTCTTTTCAATAGCTTGAATATCCCTTTTTCAATACAACATCTCAAAGGCATAGCTTTGTTTTAAAATAATAAATACTATGGGTACATACTTATTAGTAAAGACAGACGCCAAGAACTAAATAAGAATCCAGTCATTTAAATTGCAGACCTTAAAGCAAAAGCTATGACACTCAACACAGTGTTAATTTCTAACTGAAATGAGGAATCTGACAGTTAATCCTTTGTGTTTTAATAACCTTAAAGACAGAGACATCAAGACATCAAGCTAGACAGTCGAATCTTAAGCAAAGCTGTTCTGCAGAAGCACTCAATTATATATTTGTAAAACTGAGCAAAACATGTAACCAAGCAAAAGTGAATTTAAGTTTTTCCTACTTTGGTGTGCATTCAATATCTGTACAGAAAACTGATTATAACAAATTGTAACTGCACAGTGCTCTAGATCAGATTACCAAACAGTTTTCAAATTGTATTGTACTTAATTAAATGTCAAAATAGAAACAATGCCCTAATTGTAAAATGCTCATAATATTCAGAACTAAAAGATGAGTGTTTCAACGAAAACGTGTGTTGAATATCTCTCAATATATCATTCACTTTATGTCGCCTAAAGCAATATAGAAGCAGAAGGCTCATTCTGCTTCTAAATTGCTTAGGACATCATAAAGTGAGTGTATGATAAGATCACTTAATCAAGGCAGGACAAAAACAAGGCGTGATCCCAACAAATCAACTTATTGAATTAATGGTTTTCATTAGCCAACAATGAGATACTTTACAACAGTCGTGACCTTATCCAGCCATTTCACCTCACAAAGAATTGACTGCTGTAAAATACGACCAACAGACGTGAACAGGAGGCCTGAGACACAATTACAGAACAGTATTAGGAGAAAAATCGACACCATTTTAGGCCAGAATATTAGCTCCTGTAATTATGATCTGTAAACCTCAACTGACACCAACCAGAAAGATTCTTACACAACTCAGCTTATGTAATTGCTCTCATTAGTGCAAACTGCAAACCAAATTTTAAAAAAAGATTCCTTGCTGTGTTAAGAATCTTTAAAGTGCTCAGAAATCTACAAAATCTTTGCCGGTGGTCAGGAGGTCAAACCCTATGAAAACCTTGAAAAAAATCTAAGGTTCCTCCTCATCAACATATAATATGCTCAAATAACTTTTCACTTGACCATAGACTTAAAATAGCTGGCATTTTAACTGAATTTGAAATTGGATCTATTTATGAAGAGCGGAAATGTGTTCATGCAAACTGCTGGTTATTTTGTGATGCTTTACAAAGGCATTACATAATACACTGCAGAATCACACAGTTGTTTTTCACTCTGTTACCCCATTGCCAATGCATATAGATCAGGCCTCTTCTCCTTCTCTTCCTGACAAATCTTGTGCACCCTACGCTCCAGAGCCTGGCCCAGATTCAACACTTTGGGGTAGCACTGCAGGATCTTGGTCAGAACTATAAGAATGTTTCTGATGTGGGTGTATTCTCCAGTCTCCAAGCAATGCACAGAAGCCTAGAAAAAAAAAATAATAATGCAGCCTTGAGCTAAATTCTTAATTCTGTGAGATGCACCTTTGTAAATATTAAAGCTTACCCACAGCTTCATTCTTGCGTAATGGTGAAATGAACCTATTCTGATCTTCATGAGCTTGTTTAAATATCACTTTGTGTTCTACAGATGCTAAGAGCACGTAGTGATTTCAAAAGCAGACAATGGACCTTAAGCTCATCATCTTGTGTTGTTATAATTAGAGCCCATAAATCTGTTTGATATCTGCTTGACCTGGCTAAGTCTTAACACGTAATTTAATTACCCGGTGTTGAATGAGAACATCTAAAGTCCTTACTAGCCTTTGGTTAAGAAAAAATATCTCTTACCTCTGAAACTGGTTAAAAAATAAAATTAAACAGACACTACAATAAATAAAATCCTGACTGCAGTTTAAAAAAAGTTCCATTTGAAAGACAAAGGTGTTTTACTAAAAAATGGTCAGTGGCAGATTTATAATTCCGGTGTTTACAAATGAGAAGCAGTAAACAATCTCCGTGGCAAAGAAAATAGCAAATATCACAGTCATAGAAAAACCAGAATAAAATCTAAAAATTATATTTTACTCAAACATTCACCTCAAAAAAGATACTCTTAGACATATTTTAAGGAAATATGATGATCTCAACCATAACCAACATAACATTACTTTTAATAATTAAATTTCAAAATGTAACCCTAGTACTGTTTCAGCTGCCATCTTCAAATGAGGACAGAAAATTGAACAAAACTTACTTTTGTTAATTTATAATGCCACTTGTGAACAACGTGTCTGAAATTTTCATAGTCCAGTTGATCTGCTTTGTTTCCTCCATCGAAGCCAGTTGCTCTCAAAATTGTGAGGAACCCTGGGTAATTGCCACACTCCTGACATTGAAAAGTTAAACAAATGTTTGTCAACTCAATACAATGCTGCCACAAAAAATTTAAAGCACTGTATGGCTCAAATTCTGTTTACTCTGTCGCTGATTACCTGAGCAAATATGTACCATAGTATATTCACAAAAGGGGGTTCAAAAGGCATCTGGAGTTTAGTAAAGCTCAGCCGAAAGTCTTAAATCCAAAACTGTAAAAGCACTGTAAAGAACAATCTGTACAGATCTGCTTTTGAAGTGCTAGGACATGCAATGGGCCGCCTGCCAAGCCCATCAGCAGAAAACTCTTCAGATTTCATGGCTTTTAATAATGTTTTAGTGAAAGCTGCCCAGAGGACTACCTACAAGCCCAACGTTCACAAGAATGGCTAAGACCAACACTCTATATTGTATAAAAGAGCACAAAGATTAAAAAAAGCTCAAAAACTTAACTCAGGCTGCACTTCCATTTACATATGTGTTGCTCATACAAGTGTTCTGCACACTAGCTCCACTGTGATAAACTAAACAATACTTAATACAACACGTCAGTATAAATCAGGTACCTGAGAAAAATAAACTTATTTTTCCACTAAATGAAACTGGACCAGCTTTGGATTGGACAAGTATTTATGTTTAGTTTTGCATGAGAACCACACTTAAAATGTGTCAAAAAGCCATGGACAATTTAGTTTAGTATGTAAACTGATATAAAACTAAAAACAATTATTTCTTTGAAACTCCAAAGAGATCAAGTAAACACATTTAACATTCCCATATATAGATGAAACTATATTTGCCGTCAGCAGAGACTTTATCCTGGAAAGTGAGAGTCCAAATGTATTTAGAAAAGGCTAACTGATTTCAATTTTACCTTTTCGTAAATGGCACGGTCACTGTGCCACCTAGTCACAGTCTCCAGCATGCAACAGAGGAACCGCCCATAGCGTCTGGCTTCATTTTCTGTACAGCTGGCTACAGTGTAAATAATGTCTGAAAAAACCTAAAATTCAAACAGTCTTTATAAAACAACTGCAAACAGTTTATAATTAGATACTGAACAATATAAATACACAAATTACATTTGCTTTAATCTGCTTAAATGGAGATGTATTACAGAGGAACACATAAAGGTTTATTCCACGCTAAAAAGAGAAGAAAGGAAACGTTTCAGCTGTGGAGCCTTTTTTGGGTGTCAATGTATTACATAGTAATCCTAACAACTGAATTTATTAGTTCAGGTGGGTAGCTGCGTCAGCATGCCTAGGCTGCAAAGGAACAAGTAATATAGGTTTATTCCATGCTGGAAAAAAAAGAAGAAAGAAAACACAACGTTTCGGCCGTGGAGCCTTCTTCAGAAGGCTTTCTTCTGTTTTTCAGCATGGAATAAACCTATTACTTATTCCTTTCCAACTGAATGTACTGTATTTCAGTTCCACAAGTAGTCATTAAACTATTAATACTATTAATTACTCACAGGGTATGGTCATGTTTTTGAACTCCAACAATTCCTAAATGGGTCATCTATATCTGAGACCCATTAAAAGTTATGAAAACCTTAATAAATAAGATTAAAATGCAAAGGGGAAACTACTTGCAGAGCAGCACTTACCCGGTCATAGCAAAGGAGGGTGCAGAAATTTGGGGTCTTCTGTTGGTGAACCAGCTCCACAAAGCGAGCACAATACACCGCGTCAATGGCAGAGAAGATGCAGCGAGGAAATATACACAGCTGCAGAAATTTTGTGATTGTCTCATTCTTTGTTGATTCTGCAGGAGGATAAATCACAGGAACACACTGTGAACACCAGGGGCAAAGACATTTATCTTCAGTGTTATATATTGCTGCCTTCTGTATCTACCTTTTAAGCCATTTCTTTAGTTACCCCCAAAGCCTAAAGACCCAGTGTGAAGTCCTACCTGGTTAATTTATTTACAAACAATACAATTTGAACTGTAATTGAGCAGTTTCTCCATTAACACCCCTTTTCTCAACAAATAACTATTAAGAACTCTTGTTTTGCTTCATAAGAAGCAATGAAGCCGGTACCAAAGCACTAATTGAAACCTTGTAAAAAAAATGTTCCAACCTAAAAACTATCATTCTGTGTAGTTTTTCTGTTGTCACTTCCTGCAAGTATAACGTGAACCCTCTTTCACTTGCAATAACCGTTCACCATCTATACTGTTGAAAACAGCCTCAAATGATCATCGTTACTTCCTTATTCAATAGAGCCAAAATCAAGGTTTAAACTCAACACAGAGGAACTCTACATTTGGAAAACAGTTCTTAAGATGGAGATTCAGTGAAAATTATTATTTTTTTACAAATTTTGAAATCATGCTGGTATGGGAACCAAGATTGCTAACCTATATACTTTTTGCTATTTGGCATCTATTCTTCACATTAATTTTACAACTCTTTTCTCTTCTTATTTATGTGATGTGCTTTCAAGGAAACTACATGCATCCCTTACTTGCTAAAAGCCAGTTGTCTTTTTCAAGCTTTAACCTCTGCAGGACTCTCTGAACGTGCTCCATCTGCTTTTTCTCCTCCTCTTGCAATTTTTCCTGAAGAGCAGTACATCGCTCCCTCTCTTTCTTCTTTTTGTTTGGGGGCTGCAAGGTTCACAGAAAAGAAATATAACACCATATATGAAAGTGAGAAAAGATTCAAATATCAAAAGCCAATAACGTTCTTTCCATAGCTGCTGACACACAGCTACATGTCCTGGCCTTTCAGCATTATTTATTCTTTCTGAGAAAACTAGTTAAAAATAAAATACTAAAAAGAGAAAATATTAAATCTGCAATAAATCACAAGTATGTTATTGTGCCTGATTTAAATAAGAAAAAATGCATGCTTTTGTAGTCATCATAGAGTGTTAATGCAACATAATGAAAGTTGTCATCACCCAGTGGTGATGAAAATGGGAACCTTAAAGGACATGGGAACATTAGGAGAACATACCATTTCTGGGTTTTCATCGATGGCTTTCATCTGAACCTTAAGCTTGTTGACTTCTCTATCATAGGCATTGTGAGGCACAGCGAGGTCATACATGGTGAGTGACCAGAAGGTGGCATAAAACTGTGGCCTGATGTCATCCCAGACCTTTGGTGGGTGCAGGGAGACCACAGCCTCGTGGACAGGCGCCATCACCAAGTCACAAGCCGTGATGTACTTGTGAACTTTCTGCTGCTGCCGGTTTCCCTTTTCAGCCTTTTTCAGCTCATCATACTTGGACTGTAAGTGGTAACATGTATTATAAGTGAACATCACCAGTCACAGCAAACTGTCTAGTTTCATGCATTTCAAATAAAGCTAAAGCTGCTAATCTTCTGGATTTCAGTACATCTATGAATAAAATGCATGGTACTTTGCAGGCTGGTCAAGAAACTGGAAATATTTTGCCAGGCTTTTCTGATGTCTTTACAGATAAGAAGAAATACACTTCAGAGAAAATAAAATGTTTTATGAAGAGTGTCAGGTGTGATCACAAGATATACTTTGACAACAGTCTGCAAAGTGAAGTGCATGCACAGAACATCTGAAAAATGAAAAGGCAGTTCTTTCCAGATAGAAGGAAAATCCTTTTTTTAAACCCTCAGGCCTAAAGAAACCAAAACCAGCAGTCAAGCAATAACTTTTATGATATCTGGCAGGCAAACAAGACATCAGTTTTACTTACCAAAATTTGGTGTGCATACATAGGTCTTGACAAGAAAAATGCTGCATCATGGGGAGTGTGGAATTGGTTACACAGCACGTCAACTGACGGCACTCGTTTAATGTAATCTTCGGTGCTGAGATTAGAGGCTAAAAATCCACCAAACTGTACAAGTGTATCATGGCACTAAATGAGAAAAGGAAAATCAATTAGTTAACCATTTCGACAACCTTTCATGTATCATTTAGAATATTATGCTTAGATGCAAAAAAAAAATTATTTGCACAGCTGCAAGTCATTCTTGGATTTCATGTAATTCTCTTAAATTAATAAAATCGAAACATTTTATTTTTAAAACATTTCAAGCTGCCACACTGCACTGTAATAGGGGGATAAAATAAAAAAAATAAAGATGACAAAAACATTTTCAAAAAAACTGATGGGGAGTGCAGTAGCTTTAATTCTTAAGAATCAGTAAACTTAATTCCTTTCCATTTTACACACAGGGAACATGCATGTGCATGTGAGGAAGCTTACAATGGTATTGCATCTTCAGAATAAGCAGTGAATGAGTGGAAACTCTGGGTGAGCACTTGACGCACTACTTTACCCAAACAGTTGTGAGAGTATGGAACAAGATATCCAGCCACTGACTCCCTACATACAATTACTTAATAGCAAACAGGCCAGAAGGGCCTAAAGGCCTCCTTTCACTTCAAGCCATTTTCATGTTAGATTTGTTTAAGTAAAAAGACAGCAACTTTATACTGTAACAGCTGGTAACTCAAACCTTTCAGATGCCTGTCAATTATTAACTGGGTATGGTAATGAATGTGAATATCACAGCCCAGTTAAACAGTTAAAAATGGGATGTAAATATGTCAAATTAAAGAAAATGTACATTGATGGGTAAAAAAACAATTTGTTCCTGTAATTGGGCCATATGTCACATTTCCCATGAAAATAAGGTTATCCTGGAGTACTGCACTATTATAGTTTGACCCTAATTATTAGATCTTACCCAGTCTTATAATGGTGCTATTCTAGCCTCTATTTACAAAAGAAGAGAAAAAAACAACTTATTTTCTTGTACATATTTACAATCCATTAGAGCCTAAGTAAATCCTGGAAAGGTCTGGACTGACTTCACCCCTGTGTTGAATCTAATTATATGCCTTCATTCCCACCAAAAAGGCCTCTTTACCAGCAGCCAACATGAAAAGCAAGACAATAACTCTTAAGTCTTAAAAGGAGTTTTAAAATGTTACCGAGATGACACAGGAAAAGTTGCCTATCACTCTTTTAATGAAATCATAACTGATTAATAAACCATTATTCAACTTGAATACAAAGTAAAATGAAGATTTTTCCAAATTTGTATGATCTTACAGCAATGAGAAATTTGTTACTAGAAGTTAACTACCCTAGATTATATTTACATTGTTGTTAAACTGGTAATAAATTAACATATGAGGAAGAAGGATAAACTGTTTTTCCCAAACTGCAAATAGAAAGTTCAATCGAATCAAGACACACACAAATGCATTATAAACAAAAAATATTGATACACCCCCTCTTTGTTAAAACTTAATATTCTCATTTAATATTTAAAAAAAATAAATAAATATTTTTTCTAAAGAGCGTTATGGATTTCTCCAGTGTGATGATTTAAATGAATTAAATACAAACTAGAAAGACTCAAAATTTAAATATGTAGGAAAATAATTAGATGAACAGGAATTATCCTGTTTTCTAATTATGTGGATGTTAGCTGAAAGAGATTTGTTTTAAAGCACAACACTAGGCCTATACATAAGTCAGACATTATGCCATTGAACTTAATTTCAGTTTTGATTTTAAATTCAAAGATAAACAATACTGTTTAAGAATCTGGACATTTGGGTGGCTTTTGATAAACTGCTTTAATCTCCATCCAGTTTGGGAATAATATGCAAATAATACTGCTTCTCATTGAACTAAAGTGTCTTAAATGGAATGCTTGAGCAATCATTTTGAAAATTCGTAAAAAAAAGGGCTATTATTCCAAACGCTGCAATTTGAATCATTTATGGATAAATGTCAACAAATGCCAATATCGCTGCAGCCTTCAAATCCTGTCTTTTTACATTCCCATGCACTGCAATATCTTTAATTGCTAGTTCTTGAGTCCCATCTGCAGTTAAAATGCATGTAATTTGAATATGAAAGGTTTTTCAAACAATAAACCATTAGAATTGCCTTCTGGTGCCATCAAACATCACACCTGGGATCTTTTCATTAGGTAAAGGGGCAATCTTTACACACATGCACAAGCAGTGTTGATTTTCAGTTCTTTGACTGCTTAAAGCTGCCTTTTGGCTATAAGCCTACTACTACACAGCTCGCACAAAAAAAGTTTTTATGGCCTAAAGCCATATTAGCAAGAAGCCTGAAGCCATACAACTCAAAATGGATGCACAAGGCTAATACCACAAGTGAAAAATGTCAACGAATTCTTAAATCTATAGATTACAGGTGTTAGCAGACCAAGAGGTAGCACGCATCCTAGAACTCATAAAAGTCAAGAATCATACCACGAGACAGCAATGTGGAGAACTAAAGGGAAACTGCTTCCTATTATGACATTAAATCAGGTCAACGTTAAAATCTTTTCCAGGGCCATGTTAATGCCATGTTTCGTGGCTTGCTCCAGAGGTCCAAGAAAAAAAACATCAGTACAAACTAAGGACTTAACAATAAAAAAACTACATTTTTCTCCTTATTATATGCAGACATACTACGATTTCACATCTACTTTCTGCAAAACACAAAATACTGTAATAAAACACCAGACATTTAATTCACATTCTCACACACAAACCGCTAATATAATCAACATTTCTAACTTTAAATTGTCAAACCTCTTTAAACAACTTTTAAAAGGTCTTTTCTTAACAGCATGTCATGCCCAGCAACAATATAAATGCTGTATCTAAGCTAGGTTATGTGAAAAGTCACAAACACTAAAACGCATAAAGTACTTTATATAATTATTAGCATCATAATAATAACTTAAAAATGCACAATTCACTTCCCGCCCACTTTACCTGATCATAGAGCTTCCCTACGAGTTTCAAATGCTTCTCGCCACCTTCTAAGAAGACAACTCCATTCCTCTGTTGGGCCATGAGAAGACAGAGAGGAAGAGCCAATTCATGGTCCAGAAGTGCGTCCTTCAGCCTCTGGGAAGACTTCTTTGTGTTCCGAATCTGTCCAAAGTAGCCACCCTAATACGAAGCACAAACCAAATGCAATCAGTATCATCAGAACCCACAAAAGTTAACTCACTTCCTTGAAACCACGTCTACAGTAAGTTTTAAAACAATTACTAATAAAGACAAAATGACAGGGGAATGACTTTGTGATTCACGGTTCAATGCCTAGTTTTCTGAAGAGGCTGTCAAAACGTTATACATTAGGTCTCCTTGTGCAATGTTACGGTCCCCAAATGAATGGAGGAAATGGAGTTAAAAGACTCCAAACTGACAGCATTGAAACATAAAGCATTGCTCCTTTCAACATATCGGTCACTACCCAGAGAGATGTTCCACATCAATATGTCATTCGTGTACAGTACAGAAACAGGAGGGAAACTATTTTGTAGAGTTTGATGAATCTCTTACTGTCAATTTACTTTAAAAAAAAACAGGCTTCACGTCTATGAATTAATTTTGTGACTATGCAGAAAACTGAGGCCCTGCATAAATGCTCCTCCTTATCTTTTGACACAGGACACTACAGCTGTCTTACAGAAGAGTTAAATCCAATTGAAGGAGCTTCGTGTCTCTCACTAATGTAACAGCAACCATGTTGTGGTCTGGAAATGTCTAAATAACACGCACGTTAGCCCAGCAGCCAATTGTGCACTGCTGCTTGAAAAATCCCAGTCACAGTCAGCTAGAGACATGTGCCAGGCTTGAACAAGCAACATCTGGGCAGCAGGAATGAACCAAATATCCAAGTAAACACTTCAGAATCAACAGTGAAACAAAAACAGGGAATACAAGTGAAACGTATATAGGAATGCATTTAAAACTAAGAACAGGAGGCTTGGTTGTGGGAATATGGAACAAGTCCACAGCCAGACTGTTGAAGCAGATACACTGGCCCCCTTCAAGAACCAGCTGCATAACTACTAATTACCAAATGAGCTAGAGGGCTAAATGGCCTTCTCTTGTTCGTAACCATTCTGATTTTCTTACTGGTCGAGCTACTCCAGAGCCTGCAAGTGTCTGAAACTTCAGAAGAAAATTACAGAATGTAATTTTATTTTCTGTAAAGTACATGACTACACAGCATTGCTTATTTGCATATGGTATTAATAGACACTGTTTAATTTGTCCAATTCTAATGCAGCAAACATTTTTACATCTATCACCATTGCAGTAATATATAATGAAGAGTTTTGAGAAAAAGCAATGAGGAGACTAACTGCGAAATGTCCAATGTAAATAAAGAACAATATAAATCAAAATGCTATTTATTATTTACCTCAGCCTTTAATTGCTCCCCTCCAGTCATGGCTTCGAGCTGCTCCATTGTCATCTCATCTGTAATCTCGATTCCTGCCATTTTCTGCACTACTTCTTTGAGAATCAGCAGATCAAAACTAAAATAAATATACACAGAAGTTAATTCATTATGGCAAGCAGAGTAAAACAAATGGAACAAAATAAAAGCTTTTACTCTATTTGGATGAATTATTCGTATCTGTACAGTTTGAGCATACAACACCATTTTTTTAACAGTCTCAATTATTCACATTTATTGCAACCACCCCCTAACAAAGTCTTAAAATATTTCTTTTACAAACAGAAGAAAACAATTTGCTTCACACAGACTCCAGTGGATGCAATCTGTATTATAAAATGCAGGGACTGAATTGCCCTCTTTATCTGGGTCTTGTGTGTTTACTCCTCACAGACAACTCCATCAGCAGTCCTGACCCTAATGTTGGAAACAAAGTGCTTCTTTAAGAAGAATGAGCCCCAATCACCAGGAGGTTAACTGTGAAGAGTCCCAAGGAAGATAACTTGAAGCAAAAGAGTTAGACTGTGAAGAGTAAACAGCGTCAAAGATAAAGCTAAAAGCTAATTAACTTGTGCTACAAGTAAATAATTGGAACCTGGCATCCCATTATCAGTCACATCCTCATTATTGCATGAAAACTACTGATACTAAGAAGAAGTACATTTCCTGTGGTGTGTGTGTGTGGGGAGGGGGAGCTCTGCTGCTGATAAGGGAGGAAATGTATAGAACAGCATTTCCTCTGAACCATGCACTGGAAGACGCAGTTTCGAAATCGGAGATCTTTCGCTTACTATCATTTTGACACCTTAATTGTATTGCCTCACTGAAACAACTCTCATGCGCTCGTTGCACTAGACAGCTAAGCAGTGAAGAAGCACAAATGATACGACAGTCTCAACAGGATACCTCTTCCCAGCCTTCAGCTGATTTGTAACATACTGCAGAAGACCTGCAAGCTCAATGGGATACTTCCTGAAAACAGCACCACAGAGACTTGCAAGACCTACGAAAACACAAACACAAAGCATTTGCTTGAGACAGATGCATATGCCAATAAAACCAGAAACATTAAACAATGGTTATTTTTCAACATTAGCAGAAAATGCTAAAAAGGGCAATGAACATAAATACCTGTACTTAGTAAATCATCTAACTCAGGCTAAACAATCAAGATATTACTCCTACATAAACGATCAACTTGACGATCAAACACAGGCCCATTTGCAAATTACAAGATCAGTAATTTAAATGGTATTTTCACATGGAAGGAGGAAGAAGCATCTGCCAAACAAAAAGCTGACAACGAGCACTGGATTTGTAATTTGCAACTGAAGGATGCATCACATTTTTGACTTGAATAGGTGTCTTACTCAAATCACTTGAAAATATCACAAAGCCACTTACTCTGTAACCAAGCAGAAATAGTGGTGTCATCATGCTTCATTCTCTCTTTCTCAGGATTTGCCAGTGCTTCGATAATACAATCTGAGAGCTCAGAGTAAAGGAGAAAAACCTTTCCGCTATGTTAACACCACCAGATGAATTTAAAAGCCCCTCACCTATGGCTGACATTAGCTATTGCCTTCCAGTCTGCAGACTCTGAACAGTCAGACAGTTGTCTAATACCAGACCATTAAGCGAACAGGATGACAAGTGAGAATTTAAGCCCTAAAAAGATGTCAAGAGTAGGTTACAAAACGGTATTTCTATCATAATTTGAGAATATGGATGTGACAGAAAATTTTGATATGCAATACAGATGGATGATTAACAATACAGATTATAAAGAAAGTTACTGAGAGAAAAATGTCTACATTAAAGTATACATGAACGTAAGAAATGCAGTTTCAACTATGTGAAAAGCAGTACTGCAAAAAGCAGGATGTATTTCATGCATTTAATAGCCTTCGTTTACTCCTACACTTTCCTTATCACTTTTCAGCATGTATATGGAATTATGTATGATGACTTTAGTATGATGTTCCAGGCTCCAAGTCACTCATTATGTGAGGCCGTGGTCATGAATGAACAGTGCTATGCATGATAAAATAAACTACACAAAATTAAAAAATTCCCACAAAAGGATACATGCCAGGACATCATAATTCAGCGAAGTGAGGTATTTCAGGGAATCTACAACAGGTGTGATGAGGTTGTCATACCACTGGATCTGAGACAAAATCTGAAATACAAAACAAGCAGCCCAAAATTACACCCCAATAAAGAAAAGCACCATCAAACTAGTCTAAAACATAACAGACTTTTCAATATGGCCTTAAAAAATTCTCAGTGCACAAATACTTTATAAAGGAATAAATAAATGCTGCAGCATTTTTTTAATTGATTATAAAGAGAATACAGGTCAGCTGAAGCTCTTTATACCAATGGAAGTGTCTTGTCACATGCCAATTTAGAGTAATTGCTCCATGTTTTTCAGTGATTATTTTAACTCTCTACAAAGAAATACGTCAGAGTTAAATCTGTTCTAAATTTAAGGTGAAAATTCAAGGAAAACAATGGGTATCTATCCATAAACCCTCACTTTTTACACGCATAAATGACATTAAATACCCTGTCTTTTGCTGAGCATATTAGGTATTATTAGCAGAAATTTACTTCAGATTTCTTTACAGGTTATAGGGAGCGATTTCAAGTGATGGGATAAAATAATCAGGCTAATATGGCCTAGGCTGAAAAACAGGTGTCAAAAGTAGAACAAAGGCAAAACTTCTGGTTTAATATTTTATTGATGCTTTGTACACAATACCAAAGGTATTCTTCATTTTGTCTGACCGCAACTCTTTGAAAGTTCTTTCTGAAGAACTGTCAGCTTTTGTCAAGTAAAAGACACAATCTGTCCCAGCATGTTTTATGTGAAAGGTCCCCAAGAGTACAATTTTAAAAATGAATTCTGAGATCTCCATGTAGGAAGCCCACGACTTTTCTTCAAAGTTAGGAATCCAAGCAGGATTTCACCTTTACTTTATAATGATAGAAAGGCTGCCTATTCCTAGTCCTGGTTGACTCCAGCATCTGTGCAATTTTGCATAAAATTCAGATTGTTATTACTCAAGCCTTATGCAGAACTAGTACTTTAATTGATTATATATATATATTATGTTTATTTTTGTTTTCAGTTCTTGCATTTCAGCTAGGGCTGTGCTTAATACAATTTTTCTTAGTTTGTTTTAAGTTATTTTCTATCAAGACCAATAAATAGCAATTCAAAGATATCCCCTTTTAAACTGTATAAAAGGTGTGCTTATAATATCCCAGGTAGTTTTACCTCAAAGTAAATCAATTTGTTTTAAGTTGCCCAACAAAACCTGGAACACTTGACTTGAATACAGTTTTCAAACAAAGCTTCAAATTTCCATGACAAACCAATAAACCTATAATAAAAAGGATGACTGCCTCACCTTCACCACTGACAAGGCAGTAAATTAAACTCCAGTAATTTGCAGGCAATATCAAAGAAAGCCTGAAAAATACTGGTCCAAGTAATTCCTATTAATAGCTATTAAGAAATATATCTTAATATTAGTAATTTACTATTTGGAAATATAAGAAATTACACAAGAGTTCAAGCTCTGAAACTGAAGATGAAAGACATCTGGTGATTGCCGGCCAACCTGAAAGAACTGAACTAAACGCTGACCTAAAAGCTATAAGGAAGACATAGACAACAGCGCTTGTGCAATTTTCAGGACTTTTTCTAAGAACCAAAAGAAAAATGAAAACATCTGTACTGGGTGTAGTCATGTTTTTTTTTTCATTAAAAGGGAAGCCAAATTTCAATTAAGTTTAAATTATAAAGTGTGACATTTTGATGCTTCTGTACCATTGTCTGCATTTAACACTGGTTCAAATAACTCACAGATGTAGCTGCTGCATTATCCAGCACCAACAGATTAGAACATTCAGCCAATATTTGAGAAGAAACTAGTTTAACTATATTAACACCAAAGTAAACAAAACAAAGTTAACCTATGAGGTTACAAACTGCAGTTGAACTACACGTTAAATGGAAAATTAATTCATCCAATATGTGGAAGCCATGATATTCTAGTGAATTAATTCACTAGAATCAATATGGCCATTACTAACAAAAAAAAAATAGAAATATACAAAAAATATTAAAATATAAAAATGAAAAATTGAAAATAGATACAAACAGCAAATAGCTAAAAGACAGCAGATGCATTCAAAGTTGCTGAATTCTATTTTTTCTTTCATTCTTCATTGCTAATCACAAGCCTTTATATATAATAGGTTTCAGTATGATCTACCTGATAAGGGGTTACATATTAAACATCTACATGTGTTTAGGTGAAACCTAAAAGATGGCATTATTAAAACACTATGGACAAGATATCCATAACAAATTTGCTATATCATGTTTTAAAATGAATATATTAAATATTAGTAATAAAACATAAGTAATGCCCCCATTTGTTCTGTGTTTGACTCCAACCTTAATGTTAGCCACATATTTCTAACTCCGACAAAAGAAATCTGTGCTTGGGTCAATATTATCAAATAGAAACCAACTTCCTAATCTGGGGAAAAATGAAAATTTATGTTACAACAGCAGCAATAAAAGGCCTACATGAAACTCACTCATTCATCTTCCATTGCTCAATTATATCTGCCAAACGCAATAAAATACATACATAATCAAAGAGGATGGTTGGGTTGCTATGGCTCAGCTTTCCAATCTGTCTTCCAGAAGGTTTCACATTTTCCTTGGTCAGTCGCCTAGAAAAACAGTGCAAAGAGACAGATGTAGGTATCTTAATTATGCTTCCACTATGAAGGAGTGCAGGGGCAGGTTTTCACAAATTACTTTTTGTCACCTACAGGATTCTGACACTTCAATAAAACCCAGTGTGCCGCAAACCTCACAGAAATTTAAATAAAGAGCTAAAGAAAGGCCAAATTAAAGGGGATCACTCTGGGATATAATTTAGAGACTAACGCATCAGCAAGGAGATTTTTTTCTTGCATTTCTGCTGGAGTAAGGAAAGCTTTTACATTTCCTTCTTTTATTTGAAACAGCACAGTATCCATTTTACCATTTTTGGATTGGCTTTGATTTTGCATTAATTTTTTAATGGTGTATTAGTTATACTTTTAACACCATACCTACATATCACACCTGACATAGTGAAATACCGTTGTCTTAAATAAATCCTTTCCATTTTGGAAGTCTGTTACAACAGACAAGTGTAGACAGAATTGGTGGTCATGGGAAAGAATTTCACAGAAGAAGATTACTTTAACTATCAAAACCCCAGTTTTTTTACACAAGATAAAAAGACAGCTAAACTGGTAATAAAAACTGTTATCTGCATCCCTATAAATGTTTTCATAAAACAGTGAATGCCTGTGCTACCTAGGGAAGTCAAGAAATATTGTACTAACATTTTATGTGTCCTAGTTGGAGAGCTTATATTCTAACTGTATAAAAGTGATCATCCATGACGGTGTCATCTTTTGAAATAAAGCAAAGCTCTGTACTGTTTAAAACGCAGCATGAAAACACTGAAATTGTCACTGTATTTCTGAGCCGCACAACCAAGTATAAGTAGCTATGTGTGACTACAGGATGCATTGTTTTCTTAACCTTCATAGCACAATGAACTGCATGTTATGAAAAATCATGAATCATCAGTATGAGACAAAATAGCCCCCCCCCCCCCCCAGTCCTTCAAGGTAGCATTAAACACAAGGCATGGATTTTTAGTTAGGAATAGCAGCTGTTTGATTAAACAAAAACACTTTTTAAATCAAGAAGTATTTAACCATTTTGATTCTTTTGAGAACATTGCACATTGTTTTTCAGATACAAGGTCCAAGGCTAACTGCTTTACTAATGCCAAAAATGAGCTATGAGCAGTAAGATGAGTGAATAAAGAAAGATAATTCTCCCATCCTTTCATCTTAAGGAAGTTGAACTCCACGTCTCAAAGTCCTTAGAAAGTGGGAAAAGGACATCAATTGAGGCTTAACATGACAAAGCCAGTTCTGTGCTCTGGGATTAGAAAGAATATATTAAAAGAGAGAAGAAAGCAAAAAAAAAAATAGGTCAAAGGTTTTCTGAGAAAATCTTTAAGCTTCATTCAGTAGAACGCCTGGTAATTAAAATGTTTCCAGTGCAGAAGCCAAAACCCTGCTGCCCTCTCACTTGGTAGAAGCAAGACAAAGGCAAGCCCAGGTATGACAAATGCACTTCCTCAATTCATTGCTAACTTCAATAATGAAGTAGCATTCTAATGCTGGAGCCAGAAACTCATAGTGAATAAACACAACAATTTGTTCAGATAAATCTGATCGGTCTGGGATGTAGCAGGCACTTCAATTTTCTGTTCAGCACTTCAGCTATTTTAGCTTTCCAATCTATAATCCCCGCAAATGCATGTGGCATCATTTCCGCTCCACCGATCCCAGCATTACACTACTGCAGCACTGCAGTCCCAAGCAATTCATCAAGTCCTTACTCTGCCCACAAAAGGATTTCACTGCACGTGATCCTTCTGCACCAGCACCTCCCTCTAACACAAAGGTAGGCAGTGCTCCTTAAAAGCCAATTTGTTTCATTAGACAAATGCGAGATTTTGTGACTTTTATCACTGTTAGCATTGACAACAAATGCACATTTTTATTCAAACATAAAGAAGCATTTGTGTATTATTGCATAACTATATATTTTAAGGACACAAAAGGCTCAAGAAAAAGGTTCACTTCCATTGCTTTTGACAATTCAGATTTAAATGGCCAGGCTCAGGAAAATAAACAACAAAATAAAAAACACTACAAGCAAAGCAAGTTTCTTTTCCTATCAGCGTGGAAGATATTACCATCGCGAGCAGCTACACCTGACAAGTCCACTCCAAAAAACTCTTGCCACTTTACAACAGCGCAAAGAACATAAAGGATCACAGAAGCCTGAGATACGTCGCTAAGGTGCTAATAGCAGGAAAACACAAAATGTAAAGTACAGTGTGACTTACAGCAGGGGTTTTCAACAGGGATTGAACCCTAATGGGAAATCTCATTGGGGGATTTTTTTTTACTCTTAAGGTGTATGTAGGATGACAAAATAATGGCAAATTAAAGATGCTGTGAATATATTTTATCAGAATGTATGTATATGTTATCTCTACACAACTGTATATTTAAATTTGAATTAAATTACAATATATTTAGTAGGTCACATAATTTATTGTGTATACATAAAATTATTCTTCATTGGTACACACACTTGGTTTCAATTTGGTGAGTTTACATTTTTCATTTTGGTAGATTTCTTTTAAACTTAAAGTACACATTTACCACTTTGAAAAGAAAAAAGGACAAAAGAAAGCCTAGCTAAAATCTACACCAAAGTACAGAAGGAGAGTGATGCCTACATGCAATTCAGATTTACAGGTGTTAAAAAATGTATTGTTTGCAGGAAAGGGCTCTTAAATTTGGAAAACATCATGCAGGTTTAGAATTACTTTGAAATTCAACTGAAAAGCTTCAAACAACAGAACATGTTGTTTTCTTGTAACATGACTATTTGCAAGTAAAGAGTTCTGAAAAGTCTCTCGTATCCACATTGCATTACGCAAAACTGCAAATATGATCTGTGAGTCTTTGATTCTGTCTCCTGCAGTGTTCAAAGAACTTAAGGCATAAACCAGTAAAGCATTCATCCAGTATGTAGAGAGGCAACAAATGAAGAATAATGATTATAGCAATATGTGGTACCCAGGATTAACAGAAACAGAACAGAATAAGAGTAGTTTTAGGAACCATTTTATGAACAAAATAACCACATTCCAAGAAAGGGAGTAAGAATATCTTAATTAGTGTATACCTAGAGTACAGGGTCAGATCTGGCATGTTAAGCTAATTTGTTTGGACTGTGCGGCAAATGTGGACAGAGCCGTCAGCCAGTATTCAATTCACACCTTGTCCGAGTCTGCAGAGCTTACACACACTGCAGGTGCCTTTGGTTTATGCATCTTGCATACAGTGTTCCCTGCAGTTCTTTACCTCTAATCAATCACAGGACCTGTTTGATCACGTCTGACTATAGCGTGAAAGGGTCCTGAGGGAGCTCAGCAACTTAACTAATGAAACTAGACCACTCTAGTGCCTCTCGATTTTTAATACAGTAATAAATACCCCATAATTATGTTATCCAAAAAAATAGTTTTTCTGGTTCAAGAAGTGGAAAAAGTTATATTTCTTTGTGAATGTGAATGAAGGGCCAACATGCTTGATTTGTTCATTAGGAAGCTGGTGCTAAACACCAATAGCAAGTTGTAGAAATATATTTTTATTTATATCAAATACCGTTTCACATTTTAAGTGTTTTTGTCATACATAATACTTTTATCCTTGCCTTTTGCCAATTTTGTTTCCCACTTAAAAACGTTAAGGTCTGCTAAATACAAAACTAGATGCAGTGCATTTCACTTATCACAGCCTGTGCTGACAGAGATTATTAGTCCTTCAAGCAGAGTTTACAGGTGAGGCTAATCACTAATCAAGATGATGGACTAACATTTCAATCCCATAGTCTGCCAACTAATAAACATATATACCTATCGCTTAGTTTAGGTAATTTGTTCCTTAAAAACTGTTGAAATGCCAAACATTGCATAAAGAAAATTAATTTTTTGAGGTAGAAAATATATTTAAACAACATTCAGTCTCCTCTGTCATCACCTATGACGGTAAGTCTCAGTGCAAAAAACCCTAAGAGAGGCTAACATTTGGGGACAGAACTGATTCAGTTCTGAAAATCACTGACTTAGTTGACCTGCTTAAAAGACACCCTAGCACTGGGAAGAACAATACAGTTGAAGAATATTTGTTCAAAGCTGTGAAAAATGTTCTTTACTTCCCCGATTTCTAATTGGTTTGTAAAAAGCCACTATTGACAGGCACACCATCACCAAATCTTAACAGTTCCCCAGATTAGTTCCCCGTTTGAGTAAGGTGGTCTGATAAATGGCATGGTGCTTCACTGCATTCCATAAATCAAGCTCAAGATGGGGCACCCAATACTTAGCCATTCACAAAGCAATTTGTTGTCAGAGGCTCAAAAGCAAGTCAGGTGGCTTAATCAAAAGCACAGTCAGGCAGGAAAGTGTATGGAAACTTGATTGCATCCCCCTTTTAATCTACATCACCCATTTTCCACCTCTGCAGTACAGATTAGTTATTAATGATGCACCTGCTCTCACTGCAATTTGACGGCACAGTACAGATTTCAAGGAGAATCGGTGCCCTAGTCACTAAGGGAGTTATTCATTCCAAGAGGATACAAACCTTGAAACACACATTTAAACTTTAAACTCAATCTCAAATTGTCAAAGCACAACGGTCATACTGGGCAGCTTAATGTGCCTTGCTAATGAGGTACCACCATCTCTGCGTTATCCAACTTAATCCTTCCCTCCTGAATTTGTTACCCATGACATTACCTCACTGCCCCCTTTAATGAATACGTATACATTCACCATTATATCATTTTGACGACACTGCCCTTTGTTCTTCCTTCACCTTTTTTCCCCATTCATTTTCCTGGTTTTAAAAGTAGGGGTTGGAAAGCTACCAGCAACTAAATGTAACACATTTACACATAATGGATCTACAGTCGTGTCCACCATATCATTACAAGCCTGCATTACATATTCACCTAACATACTTAAAAGGCAACATTAATAACCTTCCATTCAGTGATATCCTGTGCTTGTGTAGTCAGACAAGTAGCAACAACACCCTTATGAACTGAGATCACTTAAGGTCATTTTTAAGGCATATTTTGTTATAGCTGACAATAAATGAATGGATTTGCAGTGCAAGTACAGAAAATGTGAGTGCCTTTTTTATTTCAAGTTAAGCATTGTAGCTAGCATCAGTATGTTTTTTTACTTCATGGGAGATTTCACCTAAAAGGTGTCAATGACTTTAAAAGCATTTTGTGGAGTATTTGCCAAAAGCTTTATCTATAGGTTAATGAATTAAGTTTTTAGCACAAAAAGTAAAATGAAGTTATAAAAAAATCTTACTTCATAATATATTTGGCTCTGTCAACTGTCTGGGCTTTGACTTTGACAAGTAGAGGATGGCTGTTGTATGTTTCATTTTTCCACTGTCCATATAATCGATACCTGAAAGGGACAAAGGACAAGGATATGACAGATCATATCTGTAGCTTAGAAGTAAATGATTACAAGAACTATTGATACATCTCTTTCCATTTACCACAAGATCTGCTTTTGCCTGAACCACTTGGGATGAAAACTGGATTTAAGCCAAGTATCCAGAAAGACAAAGCAAAATCTCTGTCAAATGGTACAGGTCAATAATTTAAGGTAGTCTTGACAAGTACAGGCACTGGTCTAGAAAATTCATTTTTTGATAGTAATGATAAGTTCAACAGAGGTGCAACAAAAATCAAATCAGACTGTACTACAGCTTTGCAAGCCATGTAATTAATTTACCAAGAGTATATTATTGTCAAAGTGAAATAATTGGAAAAAACAAAAAAACACAGAATTGATTCATTTACTTTTTTTAGCAGCCACATGAACAAATAGTCAAGACAATTTGCTTAACTACGGTCTGGATTTGCCATAAACGAAGCTCCATGTATCCAAAAGCACTTTTTGATATCTCGTGCTTCTAGACTGGCAGTCTCTAAGGGCTATACTGGCCCCTGAGCAAGCCCCTTAACCCTAACTGCTCCAGGGGCGCCGTACAATGGCAGACCCTGCGCTCTGACCCCAAGCTTCTCTCCCTGTCTGTGTGTCTGTGTCTCCTTGGAGAAAAGCTAGGGTATGCGAAAAGACGAATTCCTAATGCAAGAAATTGTATAGGGCTAATAAAGAAACATTATACATTATTATTATAAAGACTCTGCTTCATTATGACTGGAGAAGCCAACCCAAAGGACAAAAATATACAAGGAAAAAACCCAAACTGGGGCAGAACTAGCTGTATTAAACATCTTGATTGCTTGTAAATTTACATCATCTATGAGGCTACCAAAGAATATAATGGAAGCACCTCTGTGGTTTCCATCTACTTAATTTATGTACAAGAATGAAGCACCTCACCTGTGCTGGTAAGGAAACATTTTAAACAGTCCCCATAATTCCTCCGACATACAAGCATTACAGTCCATCAGAGTGAGAGAAGGAAGCAAAACCTGGTCCGCAATACTAAGAAAGCAGCTGAGCAGGGTGTCCTTGAGACAAGAAAAAAACACCAGTTAGAAGAATTATTTTACTTTTATTATTTGTACATTTAATAGAAATGCTCAAATGAATCAAATCCCAAAGTAAAATAATTTTGAAAAACTGAACAAGCATTCTTTATGCAATGTGGGGCAGCCCCAGTCATTCCTATAGGTGAAAGGACTATATAAAGGACTTTGCTTCATGTAAGACTGGAGCTACCAATTGAAAACGGCGAACTACCTTTTAATTTGACATATTTCAGACAAAAATTTGGAATATGCCAATAAAGACATTTCTTACCATTTTGTCCTTTTCATCCTGTCGGCTCTCATTCTGATACTGGAAAAAAAAAACATACACATAAAAACACAGCAAATCACCTGATTTTAAAATATAGGGAGATCCAATACAAGTCATGAAAACCAGCGATGATAAAATACTCTGGCACTGCAGTGAAAGCAAAACTCACATGGGAGATGGAAAAAAATGCAAACACTTTCCCAATTAACTGGGGATGTTTGGGGAAAAAAAAATCTATAACCATGTGGCCCTGCATTGAGGAGCTTCAGCTGAGTTAACACTTCTGCCCTACGCCTGCCATTTGATTTAATTTCACATTTGTCACCTTGCTTTGAAAAACCTGCTTTTAACAGCAAATCTGGCTTTTTTTGCTGTACTAAAAGCACAGAGGCACAATTCTGCACCGTAAACAGGATCTATAGTCCTTTAGACTGTTATTACACCAACATTATTACTGCCACTGTTGGACAAAAATAAAAATGCAAGTTCTGATTCAGCATCTCTGTCAAATCTGTCAGCTCATGAAGTCTTAAAAAATAAAAAGACAGAAAGCTTACACATAATTACATTATACCGCCACACCATTTCTCCTGAGGTACACGTCTCTTCTGAAGGATTTTTAATGCATGCAAATTTTAATTTTTAATATACAGTTTGGTTCAAACAGCAAGAGATGAAAAAGCCCCAAACCTCTTTCATGAATCCTTTGCCCAGCCTCACTATCTTTGCAAACAAGATGGGATCATGAGAGAGATGAGGGCCAAGGTAGCACAGCATGCTGAAAACTTCTTTCCTCAACTCTTCGAATGTCTCCGCTGGCTTGGGAGCTCGCTTGTTTGTGAGAGGTCGCATAAGACACCCTTTGGCTCCTTTCGGGACGCCGGCCCTAGAGGTCAAAGACAACAGCAGATTGCATCTCTCACTGTACAGGAAGAAAACCATGTGTGAAGTCTTTACTATTATTCGCTCAGCTAGGAATATCAAATTGGCTGCTTATTGGTCAATTATGGCTACTATTCCCACACACTGACATCTAATAGGTTTTCATTACAATTACCAGTGGGTGGAAGAAAGGTGTACAAATATAATTAAAATTAATTACTGTTCTTTTCACGATGGGTGGTTTAATTATACACTGTCAGGTTCTCTATTGTTTTTCATATCAACCTTATTAAATAAAGTATGGCAAAGTAGCTCAGCTCTTTTGGTAACACTCTGTAGCATGTCTACCAGACTTGTTCAGTGAAATATGCATTTTCAGAAGAACCAGAAAGCTAACTATATTTTTGGGGGTTTAATCCATCAACAAACCTAAACAGTCCCTAAGAGATCCCAAACTTTTCTTCACTTGGCACACTGAATTTAAGTTAAAAACGTTTGATTGCCTACCTTCTTAACTTACCATAAATGAATCATAAAAAACATGATCTTGTATTTTAAATTTTGAACACCTAAAACAAACAGTTTTAATTATGATCAGGATACCTGCTAGTATATTAAAGCCTAAAATGGAGCTTTTGCCTGTACCTACAGCAATTGTTATTTGTCTCTTCTTTAGGAACAGAGATGCATTAGGCCCCAGTAGACTCTCAGCCTACTGAAACAGCCAAGGCTGAGGCCAAGGTTAGCAAGGGAGTAAATGATGACACATGAATGTTTGTGCTTGCCATACCTGACCTTAACAGCTCTCCAATTCTCAGTGCGCCAAGTCTCCTCACATAGCCAGCAGAGCACGAAACACAGCAATGTGTTTTATTTCAGCAAAGGAAAACGTTAAGCTAAGTAAGTGAATGTGGCGCACCCAAGGCTGTCGATAATAATAAAGTAAAAAAAAGTGTAAGGAGTGTAAGAACTTAAAGAGAGTTCATGTATGTTGCAGTTGTAATCTGGTACCCTATGTAACTCTTACCGTCGGTACAAGGGTTCAATAGTAAAATGCAGAAGCTGACAAAGAGCCACAGCTATAGGCTTGTGTGATGTCGCATAGAAAGAAGGCATCTGATCCATAATGCTTTGAGCATGTTGCCAGTCACCAATCCTTAACAAAGCTTCTAGAAGCCCAAGCTTCTGGTTATCCGGTGGCTGCAAATAAGGAAAAAGTAACTTTTGCAGTACAGTTCACAGAATACGTTTAGTTTTTTTAACATTATAGATATAAAAAAAGGTTATAGCCCATTGAAATCTCTGACTTCAAAAGGAAAACAGACTGCTCTCACTTCTAAGGTTCCCTTAAGGATCAAATGGGACACCGCTACTCAAATTAAGAGGGAAAGCGATGGTTCTGTTGATATTCCTGCTATTTCAACTGTAAAAAAATAGAAGCTGGCCAGCCTTGCTTTTTAGCTGCCAGAGAAAAATATGAAGAACCTTTGAATTTGTACTTGTGTGGCACGTGTACTTAAGAGGGAGAACACAAATTAGCATGCCAATTGAATGGCTTGACATGAGCACATATTTACGGTATATGATTGTTTCTGGCCATTTATTGTCATATTAGGATTTTGCAGAGACCAAAGGCCATCTACTCAATCTAGTAAATGTCATTTTATGCTCTAGTACACAAAAACTGCATTTTGAGAATTCAAAATTACATGATGTACAAGAATACATTATAAATTATGTGTCCTTCTTACGTGACACCTTTCATCTCTCTTGACAACTTATTTCTTGCACTGATGAACCCCATCACATACCTGCAAATTCTATCAAGGTTATCACTCACTGCCAACAATATTAGGGAAGAATACATTATGGATGACTGATAAAAGAAAAACAAGACCACCTTGCAAATAAAGTCATGGTTGTGCACCAAGCTTGGCATGAAAGTTGCAGAGGCATGGTTTTAGTACATTTTTTTAAAAGAAAGTGTAATTAAATTTGCTGTTCCAGAACAAAGACATTCCTCCAAGGGACCCACATCACCAAAAACAAAAGCTTTTAGCTTATTCATCTCTCAAATGGTTTATCATCAAATAATTTGAATTTAATTTTCTAAGAGTACTACATTTGTTGGGAGAGAGGTAGGATGAAGGCATTCTCGCAAGAATGTACTTTCAAGATGAAAGATGATGTGCTCTTCAAAAAGTAAATATGACAATGTATCGTCTCTTCAAATAAAGCTGTGATGCGAAACCAAGCTTTGAGTGGTTTTAAATAATGAACAGTCAATTATCATCATCAGAGGGACTTGTCCATATCTGAACCAAACAGTAAGTTTATGTATTAAATAAAAGCAGGCACAAAGAAAAAACAGGTGCTGACTGGAAGAAAAAGTACCTTCTCATTCTTCTCCTCCTCTTTTTCTTTTTCCTTGTCCTTCTCATCTGTCTTTTCTGAAGGCACCACAACCATGGTTAGCTTCCGTGCTATCTGTTTAGCCTCCATTATCTCCCTCTTATGTTCCTCCAAGATTGTGGGATCCAATGGTAGGAGCTATAAGAGAACCAATAACAGCAAACTCAATTAAAAACATGTTACAACACCGCTGAGGTCTCAAGCACAATTTCTGTCTCCACATTTACTGTTATTTTGGCAGTTTATATTCTGCATTCGTACCCTATTAGGCCTGTATCCTAATTCAGTACAACTAACCTTCTGTTATCTTAAAAATATATTTACTGAAGCTTACAAGCAAATGCGATTTATCAAGCACAACTTGTGTATCTTGCAGTCTACCTCTGAATCCCACAGAGGTGCTATAAGGTACATGTTAATGTTCCTGAAAGTAGAATTTGTGACAGTTCTGCCTCCTAGGAGCCCATTAAAACAGTATAAGTATGCATTTAACATTAAGAGCTGAATTAAATGCTTATCTTCAACAGTTGTGCTGCTTAAAGTGTATTTTATTTTTGAATCTAACTTAAGCTTCCAAATACACGTGCCAAGCTGCTACAAATGCAAATCACTGCTCTTCTGGTTTTAGTTTATCACAGCAAGAGGATTCGATGAAGGTACTTACATGCACATAGAGATCTTCAAGCTCTATCAAATTGTGCTGAAGGAGAGCAGCAGCCACGTGATAGAGAGATGACGGAGTCTCCCCATTTGGTTCCTGGGACAAGATATTGTAATCGGTGAATTCAAGGTTATGGTTTGTATGTTTCTATAACATTGATACATAATACTAATTTAGAGTGGAGACATCATGAAAAGTGAACATAAAACCGTGACCCTCATTACACTATTATTCAACTTGTTTCTGAAAAGTTCAGAACTGAGCCTTTAACAGTATCACCACGATCTTTGCCGAGGTAAACCAATAAGTGTAAACAGGGCCTCGCAAACTGATTTAGTTACAAAAGTGACGTAACCCCCTTGTGAAAGCTACACAGTGTAAAACTCTGCTGTGGCAGAAAAGCAGGTCTCCTGGTGTGGTAGAGTTATCCACCATCTAAGGAGTAGTGTGCGTGTCTGGAACCCACAGCAACCAGAATTAAACCCCATCAGGGTCTGCCATCATCACACAAGCACTTACAAAACTTGATTATTTCCTTTTCACCTTAAATTTATTTTCTTTACCTGCTAGTTACAAAACAGTGACACTGGATCTTCTCAAATTATAAAGAGAAGTTTTCTTAAATATAATTGGCCTCACTACTGATCTTTTTTGTTCCTAATGCAAATAAATGCCCTGCTAATTGCACAAAAAAAGGAAAAACATTACCTGATGAAACTGGAATTTAAAACCCAATATGTGACAAAGTGTCTGTGGTTCACACATGTAACATTTAATAAGGGGTATGAAAAATTCATCCTGTTCTGATCTACATTCATAAACTTCAAGAATGATGTCCAGAACTCGGTTTGGGTCCAAGTTAAAACAACCTAAGGGTGAAAATGGAGAAAAACGTAGATTGTGGTGAAAATGAGATCCTGCAAAACTCTTTGAAATCCATGGCAACACTTTTAGTGTCTATAAGAAGTGTCCTGATTATTTATACAATAATTCGTAGAAACAAAGCCTGCCATTAGATGAGTCACACTCTAAGTGAGCAATCTGTTAGACGTCTTAGAATTTAACAATTCATCTTAGAGATTCTTCTCTAAAATAGTTCAAACGTAGTTAAATACATAGCTCTAATGAAAAGTACTGTCTTTCTAAAAACATCAAATGCAATTAAAAAATTGCAATATACCGCTAGGGCAGTTTGATTAAAAACAATAATTTCAGGGTTTTGAAATTATATCCAAGTGTGAAAACACAATCATGTTAGGGCTATTAGCCTCCTTAGTCATTCAAGTCAGGATACTGTTTCACTTTATTAAAGAAAGCTACTTTGCTCATTATAAGGTTTTTGATTGAGAATTGTCATAGTGAAGACATTAGTTTCCAAATCATAATTACACTTCGAACACATTATGGACTGTACAGAACATCAAGATACAAAAATAAGCACACAAAGCAAACAATATTTATACTCCTTCAGGACTATGCATGAAATGTTACAATGTTAAAGGGAAGCTTTTACCTATCAATGACTTGATGTTTTCAAGGATCAAGTGACTGGTGATGTTCCCAGACAAGTCTTGGCCCAGTTCTGTTATCAACTTTGCATAACCTTCATTTTCCTCTCTTAACAAGTTGAACTTCTGTTGCTTATAACTGTAATGAAAAATATCACTTATAACTTGTCCCAAAGCTTTACAAATCTCTTCTCACAACATTCTCTAGTTAATGAGTAATTTTATGAGACCTAAACCTATTTAAGTCAACATTTAGTATCCAGTTACTTTTTAAAGCTTTTGTGGTATAGCATTCAGATCTGCTTTTACAAAGATATGACCACTCGTTTTCCAACAAAAACAATAAAGTGATTAAATTTGGTTAAGAAGGAATTAAATTAACCAAATTTAATCACTTTATTGTTTACAAACGGAAAGCAAATGAATCACCAAGGGCACTGAAAATCTGTGTTTTTAACTTTAAATAAAATGAGGTGCAGAACAAATTGACTATTTACACATTGTTTACAAAGTACTCATCACAGAGGTTCTTCATAATATAATATAATATATCAAGGCAGGCAGTGACACAGACTTGTACTGAGGTAAAAACCTTTCTTTAGAATCCGACACAATTCTGCAGTGTTTTGTCACTGTTTTAAAGGCTCTGCATGGTCTAACTGGGCAACATTATTATTTGTCATGCTCTGCATCACTCCCTATGCACTGCTGCAAAACCTATTGTTAATTGTGTTCCATTCCAGCCACTGACAGACAGTCTCAAGCATACTGAACTGCCTGCAAGGAGCACACATTTCTCTCAAGTGCCCTTCAATGCAGAACTTTTTTTATGAAGAGCTCAGCGATGAATTTGGTCAGCTTTCAGCAGAACTACTTCAGCGTAACTATTGTGTTTCACATACAACAGACATCTCAGATTACAGGGCGAACTGAACCTGAAGGTGCAATTACCAATTGTGCTTATTATTTCTAATTGTGAGCGAAGTGCACTTCATATCAAATGTTATTAAGTGTTTTCTTCTTTATGAGGTCATATAATGCCTCAGCAGTCATATATATTTTTTACTGGCTATATATTCCCTGTGTTGGGAAAAGCTGCCAAATGCCCTGTAGTGTAGTAGCAGGGGCATAATGGGCAGTGTCCAGTAATATTCCAGTAGACAAGAGGAAAATGTAGCGCTGAACCATATGTTATGAAGACACAGGTGGGCAGCAAATCATTAAGCTTTTTTTCAAAGCAGGTTTCCTGCCTATTCTCACTCTTAAATCTGCACCGGAAAGCCTTGTGTGGAATGCCAATTACTCACAATAGCTTGGTCTTGATTTTTACGATTTTCTGATTAAACTGCTGCGCTTGCTTGATGAGTCCAAGGGATTCTAAAGTCTCTGGATCCAAGCGCTCCTTGAGCACAGCATCTGAAACAAAATACTGGAGGAAAGAAAATACACAAGTGAGGAAGGTGACCAATAATACTACCCACAAAAGGGCGTTTTGGTTTATTCTAGGGCTCAGACTTCCAAATCCAAGTTTACCCTCGTAGAAAATGATTTTCCCATATTCACATTAAACGTTTATGTTAAACCTAAAATTTACCTTTTTGGATTTTTACTAATAAAAGCTACACTGATAACTGTAATAACAGCATATGTACATAACTAGTATCACTTATGTAGATATAACAAAATGGAAGCTTAGCAAACATTAAACAAAACCAATTACAAACTACATTTAAAGCAGCAAACTTATCTACCAAAATTCCAGTTTCTTTCTTTTCTTTGTGTTACACTATAGGCATACAAAATGGGGTGAAGTGCTGAATTCCCAGCTTTGACTTTGAAAATAACCATTCCTCATAGCTCCTCAATAAATGAGTGAAAACTCAGCTTATGAGCATACTTCAAAAGCTTACACAGTTATTTTAAATATCTGATTTTGTTCTTTAGTTATTTCACATCTAATTATAGACTAACATTAAAGCTTCCCCCCACAAGAGAACAGCTATTTTCTATGGAAAGTATGAACACTTCCTAACAGAATGTAGGTCACTCTATCACACTAAAACAGCTAATCTTAAAAGTCTGGGGGGAGTGGATTTAAGCGTCACAAAGAAAACTATTTGTGTTAAAAGTCTGAAATCAAACTCATGCTCAAAGCACTGTCAGTAAAAGATAAAATAATCTGATTTGTTAAATGCAATGCTGCCATCTAGTGTGCATAACATTGAAGCCTTTAAGTTCGATACATTGACGTTGCCATTACACTGAGTAAAGCATTACTCGTTCTCTTCACAACACAGTCTGTGCTGAAATCAAGGACGGGACTTACCAAACACGCTCCTACCAACTGGGTAAAATGGTCACGCTTGTTTTTTTCTTCCAAGCAACCAGTCTCTATATCTACAATGAAAACAAGCAATACCAGCTTCAATGGCATTTACTGGAAGAGTTGAGTTGAGGAAGTATTTCGCATAATATTCAGCATATCATTATACCCACACACTGTACCACTACAAGGTAAATATAAATATATAACCTTCTTTCTGTTTCCAAAACAGTACAGTAGCAATTTCACATCTTAAAAATACATTCAGGACACATTTGCAGCAGATATATATATATATGGTACCGAAACAGAAAAGAAGGCAAAATATCATTAATAGCTTCTAACAAAGCACCTACCTAATATACAGAATACATCGGCTAAAATGGATGACATGTCTTCCCGTAATTCCTGAAAAAAGAGTGAATCATCAAGATGTTGTACACAAAGCAATTCATTTCTTTTTCATCCAAACCATGTTTGAAAAGTGGTTTTAAATTACCAATATAATCTAGGCTACACGGCTCTTTATTTTGAACCAAAATATGAAAAATTATTATTCCACTGACATGCAGGTGTAATGGTAATATTTTATCAGCTTAAAGTCACTGAATTCCAAGAAGCTTACTCTCCTGTCACACAAAACTTCATAAAGATGTTATACTGTTACTGCTGTAGACACATGTTTCTTTTGATATAACGTTTTATGAAATAATTTTTTTCTAGTTTCTTCTGATAAAATTTGCACTGTAAACATCATTTTATAAAATGTACTAATGTTATATTTTACATAAAAGAGGGCAGTTATCCTAATGCTTACAGTTGTGTGCAATGGTTTAGGCACCCTGGTAAAATTTTTTGTTTCAGTGAATCTCTAAACAGATGACACATTATCAGCATGGAAATAAAATAGTAATTGCTCATTAAAAGTACTTGCTTATTTTATCATTTTAAAAAATAAATGGAATGTGGCATGTACAAAGGTTTGGGCATCCTTCCAGTTGATTCATTACTTTTTTCATTGGCGTTTTTCAAAAGAGCCCAAAACTTGTGGGACTCTGGCCTTAGATTAAGTCAGGTGAACAAAAATGATGCCGATTATAACCTCTTAGGCTATAAATGTTGGCTATAGGCCATAGGCTCCTCTAAGCAGCTGTCTGAGGACTTGAAAATAAAGATAATTCACTCTTGCAAAGCATGGGAAGGCTATAAAAAAGTCCATAAAAGTTTCCAGCTTGCACTTTCAACTGTCAGAAACATTAAGAAATGGAAGTTAAACAAGTCAAGGCAAGATCTGGAAGACCCAGAGAAATCTCTGATAAAACTGCTCATAAACTGGTCAGATCTACAATGCAGCATCGACAGATCAATGCAAAGGACTTGCAGAAAAGTTTAGTTGACAGTGGAGTAGTTGTCCACAGGTCCAGAGTACAGTGTTGCTTATACAAAAATGGAGAGTTGTCAGAAGGAAACCTTTCCCATGACCTCATCAAAATAAGTCAATGTCTGAAGTACACAAAATAAAACCTGGATAAGCCAGAAACATTTTAGAACAAAGTGCAGCATACTGATGAAACAAAAATTAAACTTTATGGCCACAACCACCAAAAATAAATTTGGAGAAAAATGGGTAAAGCTTTGGGGTTGTGTGGCAGTCAATAACTTAGGAAAAACTGTGCAGGTGGAAGGAACAATGGATTCAACTAAATATCAAGAAATCCTAGAAGCTCATGTCCCAAAGTCAGTGAAGAAATGGAAGCTAAAATGAGGTTGGATATTTTAGCATGATCTGAAACATACATCAAAAACATACCATGAAGTACGTACAGGAACTAAAGATTCAGCTTTTGGAATGGTCTTCGCAGTCCCCAGACTTAAATATTACTGAAAATCTGTAAGGAGATCTCAAAATATGCAGTGTATGCAAGAAGACCAAAGAATATTTCTAAGCTAGAAGAGTTCTTCCAAGGAAAAGTGAGGAAAAACTCCAAAAGCAAGAATAGAAAGACTCTTAATTGGTTAGAGGAAATGCTTGAAACCTGTAATACCTGCCATTGGTGTTACTAAGTACTGACTGAGAGGGTGCCCAAACTTGTGTTCATGTCATTTTCACTGTTTTACTATTTTGAATATCTCCAAAACTGTAAATATTGAGCATTAACATTTGCTTGAGAATTATTTCATGTTTAAGTGTGTACCACACAGCAGTTGTGTCAATTTAACCAAAGATTCACCAAAACAGACACTATTTGCATATAACTGTCTGTTTGATCAGTAATAGACATCTTCATTCTTAATATCTGTGAATAAAGATATATTTATATCCTCGAAGGAATAAGTCTCCGCTGAACCCTGTTTCCATCCACGGTGAGGACATAGAGGGTATACATTCCTACAAGTACTTAGGGGTACACCTGGATGATAAGCTGGAGTGGTCTGGTAACACTGCCGCCCTGTACAATAAAGGTCAGAGCCAACTCTATTTTCTTAGGAGGCTCAGGTCCTTTGGTGTGTGTGGAACACTGCTACAGTCAGTGGTGGCAGCGGCCATCTTCTACGCTGTTGTGTTCTGGGGCATCAAGATGCACATAGGCTCAATAAACTTATCAAGAAGGCTGGCACAGTGTTGGGGATGAGCCTTGACCCCATGGAGGTGGTGGCTGAGAGGACCAAGCTCACAGCCATCATGAACAACACCTTCATGGGACTGTTACTGGGCGGCGGAGCACTTTAAGCAACAGACTGCTCCAGCTACGGTGTTCAAGGGAACGTTTCTGCAGGTATTTCCTCCCGGCGGCTGTCAGGGTGTATAACGCTGCCCTAGGCTAGGACCGTTAGCCCTTCATTTGTTCGTCTATGGACAGCATGTTTGCTCCATTGTACTTTTTGGACATTTTGCACATATTTTATTGTTTTTACAGTGACCATGATCATCACATTTTGCACACACCTATGTATTTATTTTTATTTATTTTGTTGTCTTTTGTTTTATAACTATTCTGACGTCTGTTTTTGCTTGTCTTGGGCTGGACTGCTGTAACACATCAATTTCCCGACGGGATTAATAAAATATTATCTATCTATATTTATCCGATTCAAAGGTGAATATAATGTACTTTTCTAAGTCAACAGAACAAAAACATCATTGCTTGTACAATTATGGCTTTAATTAAAGTAAAAAATGTGATATCTTGACCAAATGAGAAATTATGAGCCAGGTAATGGTACGTTAAGATTTAGATTTATAACGTATAATGCAGCAGTTACCACCACGTCATTTTAAAACCTGCACTTTTGCGAGATGAGAATTTAACTCACACTATATTACAGGCTAAATTAAGCTTCTGTCTCTCCAACATCTGTAGCTGCAATCGCTTCATAAAGCTGATCTCTAATATCCAGTCAATTATCATTAATAAGGCACTGCAATTTATTAAGGTTTACTTTACATCTGAAATGTATCCAGGTTCAATTAATAGCCTGTGGGCATAGAATTACTTGGCTTTGGGACAGAAGGATTAATTCTTCCTCGTACCATTATGTCACCAAGAACACTGGCAGCCAGGTCCAATTTGAGATTGCCCCTGATGACATGCCATGAGAGTTCATAGAGGGCAGCATGAATATCTGTGGAAGGAAAAGAAAAATATTATATTAATTACAATATGCAGATATTAATCTGGTTTTGAATCTGTGCCTAGTTCTAAAGGCGAAGTTAATACGTGTAATCACTAAACAGAAAGAAACAAAAGGCTCAATACCCATTACCGTATATACCTCTAGTATTTACTGAATTTATGCTATTAAAAGTGACTGGAAGACTTTTGTGGTAAGTCAGTCATTAATCTTAATTTACCGAAGTCATAGTTACCTACAAAAGTCAACAATCAACAGTCAAATACATGAAATCTTTCATTTTGAAAGTCCTCATACCAACACAAGCTTTCATGAAATAACCTATTGAGCTCTGAGCTGTCTGAATCAAGCTCAGGTCTCACATGCAGAAAGACTGATTTCTGTTTCTCTGATAACATACTTTCATCATATGTGGAAAACTTTAAAATACTTCATTTTAAAGAAAGAAATGTTATGACCAATCGATTCTTGACAAAGAGCCACTACTTGTGTTAATACATTTATCTTCATCGTGCATTCTATCTTACCATGTATAAAACATTAAACAGATTAAGGTATGCTGTAGTATGCTACATGACTTCTAAAATAAAACATCTCTCAATAACATATATAAAATATTATTTAAGCTTTCCTACAAAAGCTGTAAAAACAGCACAAGCCTGTCAATATCTTCATTTCTACATAAATGTATAAACCTTTACGGGATAGAGAAATAAAGAAGGAAAAGAGAAAGAGGAAAGAAAGGAAAGAGATCAAATAAAAGCTATCAATGATGAAGCCAAAGATGACGTTCATGTTGTAGTTTCTGTTAGTAAGGTTCTTTACAGAGTTCAAAATTTAGGTAAAATCCACAAGTAAATCCATTTACGACTTTGAGTAACTCAATGGGGAAAAAGGCCTTCCATAGCAACACAAAAATATAGTACAAACAGCAGCATTAGTCTAAAAATTAGACACTACCCATAAAATAAATCAAAGACATTCAAAAGCCCCAGAACATACTCAGAAGTAATACATTTTTTACAAAACAATCCGTGTCATGCTCTATTACAATGAAGTTTATGATCAGATTCTTACAGAGAAATTAAACAAGTTGACTAAAGGTCTCAGTTCAGTGACTCCAAATTAAAAAAAGGTTTCCTGGGAATCAGAATAAATGCCTTTTAGAGAAGCTAATTAGCTAGAAAAAGAGTCAAGTTTAAAAAAAGAAGTGCCCTTTTCAATGTTAAATGGCACCTTAGAAGCCAGTTAGTTGAAGCATTGCATGTTTTACTGAGAAAAGTGCACAGAAAGAGAACAGGTCCAGTGTATACCAAATAATTGGAAGCCAATTATATTAGAAAAGGCTGTGACACTACTTTGTGTGTATTCTCTGTTTCTCTCAATTATGGATCACACTTTCAAATACAGGATGTTCAGTTGAAAAACAAAACCCAATGCTACCCTTCAATAGGCAAAACACACAGTTCTTTATTAAATAATGGTAAACTCCTCAAAGCATTGCATACTTACGACATTATGATCTAAAATCTTGTAGGGCTCTTTTTTGATTAAATCAATTTGATAAGTGCTAATGTAGACTGCGTTAATAAGTCCAATATATCTGTTCCTTGGGATGTGGCACCTCCAAGAGTGCGATTCTGAGCACAAGAAAAACTCTTCACAAATTGTTTTAATTGAACAGGACAATCGGTGCTGAAAAGGCCAAGGAAACTACCACCCTTCAGTAAGGCAACACTGCCTTTAAGAAACAGAATGTGCCTCCAAGTTTCTGTTTCAGCAGGGCTCCGAGTTTGAATAATTAAGTGCAGATCATGCTGGGGAGCAGCTGCAACAAACGTAAACTGCCAGTTCAAAAGACAGGATACTCACTCCCAGACTTCATGACACAGGAAACTTAACAGAAGACATAGAAGCATATAAAAAGGTCAATTCTATCCATCCATCCATCCTCTAACCACTTCATCCAACACGGAGTCACAGGGAAGCTGGAGCCTATCCCAGCAAGCAGAAGGCAGAAGGCAGAAGGCAGGATACACCCTGGATGGGACACCAGTCAGCGCAGGGTACACAAAGACACAGGCACACTCTCACTCCACGGCCAATTTTCCAAGAAGCCAATTAATCTATGTCTTTGGTCTGTGGGAGGAAATTGGCGCATCCTGAGGAAACCCACACGAACACATGGAGAACATACAAACTCCAGGCAGATAGCACCCCAGATCCCGAGTGCTAGCCACTTCACTACCCTGCTGCCCAAATTCAATTATATAGCAAACTTAAATGTTCACCAGGAAAGAGTGAGAAATGGAAGCTATTAATGCATGAATTAATATAGTGACAAAGATAACTGCTTTGTTGGGCTCTGGAAAAACAGCAATGGAGTGTAACAAGTTCATCAATGATGTCATCCACCACCCAACCACAACTATAGAAGGTGTTGCCTCATCAACAGTGTTGAAGGTATCATGGCACTGGAGATGAGCCATTATCATCCAAGTGATGAATCCGATGTACACAGTGTAACTGTGGAAGGTTATATGATTTAACACCTAGCTGGTTTAAATATATTGATCATTCTACCATGTACCCAAAAAATATGCACAGGCCTCTCTGAAAATAAATTACTATGACTTGTACTTATGCTCTGATCCAAATTAGTTTCTTGGGAAAGTAATGAATTAGGTGAATACAAGTAGCCTGTATAATGTGTGCTAGTTCTCAAAAAATGTTTTTCATTCTTATTTTAAGTGATAGTGTGATTGAACAAGCTAGACTATTTTGGTCAAATCTTTAAAGACTTCAAAAGCTCTATTTATCAAAACTGATGTGCTTTTCCAATCTTCACACAAAGTGCAAAATCTAAAATACACCTTTTTTTTTAGATTTGTGTTAAGTGTGCAATCATTATTAAATTACAGCTTCACAAAACGTTTTACCAAATTACTTAAGGACTATATCTGATTTCTGCAGCATTTTTTTAGATATGAAAATATTTTGTTTTCCTTAACACGAAAATCAAACATCCTTAAATATTCAGGTAAGTGAATGGTAATCCCTCAACATGCCCTGTGCTATTTAAGGTGTCTCAAAGGAGTCAGTGCACAGAGAATTTTATCACTACTTCTGCTGTTTTGAGGAGGCCACAAATGTTGGTACTTCTACTGCTGAAGTTTCAAAATGTATTTCAAAATACTACATAGTACACAAAACATATGGCTAATTAATGTCCACAGGTCAACAAGAAAGACAACAGAGGGGTGCTATCTTATGCATTTGATATTAACTTCACTGCATGCTAATCGCAGTACTGTCCCCAAGTTGTCCGTGGTAACCAATCTCTCGCTCGTTACCTAGAAACCCTTTTGCGAATCAAGAATCCACTGGGACTAGCTCACTGCAAACATCTTCTGTCAAGGCTGGTGCAAGACAAATTCAAAGCACCTCATACTTGCCAAAAAACCTTTGGGTTCCATTTTATTATTTTTCATTTTATTACAATTTAAAAAAAAAAGGCAGACTTAACTTTTTCCCAAGGAAAGCTGCCTTAAAAGGCTGATTAAGAACATTTTTACTTTGGGAAGGAAAAAAAGTTACAAACCAGAAAAAAAAAATAATCTGCTATGATGTTTTATTGTAAACACAAAATTGCAAAGAATCTGAACAGGGACAGACATTTTCATTAATATGGAAAAACAAATCAGTAGAGGGACTTGGAATAATGCTGTCAGCAATTAATGAACACATTTTATGACATCTTACCTTTTAACGTCACGTCATCATTCGTTTTATTGTCAGCAAGATTGCGACATAACTGTACACTGAAAAACAAAAAGCAAAAATTAAGTTTTAATTCACTAACATTATAAATTCATTCAACCATCAAAAAAAAGCTACAATATCTAAATACTTAGAACCAAACTTTTAAATAATATTTCAGGTGGGAAGCTGCGTCAGCACGCATAGGCTGCAAAGGAACAAGTAATAGGTTTATTTCATGCTGAAAAAAAGAAGAAAGAAAACACAGCGTTTCGGCCGTGGAGCCTTCTTCAGGTGTGACTCGCACATCACACCTGAAGAAAGCCCCACGGCCAAAACGTTGTGTTTTCTTTCTTTTTTTTCAGCATGGAATAAACCTATTACTTGTTCTTTTTAACAATATGCTTTAAACAAGAAATGCTTTCAAATTCTTACAACATCCACACCAAGAGCAAAAAAATCAAATGTAAGCAAGCTGTTTAACAAATTTTCATTTGAAGATATCCCCACTACAGAAATGTCTCCTTTACTACAGTAAACTGCACAAAATATGGGTCATGTTCAAGAATAAATGGGAAATTCCATTACTCCCTGTGCAATGTGCGAAGACACATGCTGTTGATAAACTTCATATTAACAATTCTCTATTGTCTTTTTTTATCTATTCTCTTTTAAAGAATAAAAAATATATATTAGTACGATGGCTCCTTTTCTGTACTCAGTAATAAAAACTTCCTTTCTTTTATATCGGACTTTTCTGCTCACAAAACACAAAGTATGGTATTAGTGAGTGCCCCCTACATATCCTGGGAAAGAAGTATGTGGAGGAGTTTGTTTCAGAGAACTTACTAAATTCTCAGCAAACCTTACAAAGAAAGTGACAGATGTGAAAAAAAAGGAATTCCAGCTGTAAAAAGGTGTTACTTAATGTCAGTCACATGGATGATGAAACCAATAATTTAAAAAACACAGGGAAGCAATTTTCAAGTTGCAAAGAATGAATCATAGAGAAGAATATCAGTCCAATAATTATACTGCATGCAAGCAGACTTAAAAATGCCTATGTACTATACAATCATTACATGACTGACACTTTTCTAGGCCCTTATCAAAGGACTTTGCCAACATTTTTCAGCTACTCACCCATGGTTCACACTTTTATCTACCAAGGACCACTTTATTAAATATCACACTGCATGTAAAACACACAGATGTTGTACTCTTAACTTTCGGCAGATATGCAATTCTTAAAATTAACAATCAACTACTGAGAAAGAAAGGGGAGGACAGAATAGGAACTAAGAAAATAGGAAAAGGAGACATTCAAATTATTCTAAACACATTAGCTTAGAAAGGCACTGTTGTGAGAGGTAACTAAACACATTTCCTTTATTCCAGCATTCCTTCTGCTTCACATAGTTTAGAACAGTTAAGTAAATTCTTGTACAAGTCCTTAGGATTTAATTAATTTAATATACATATGACTTTGTACAACATCATCTGAAACAGGTTAAGAGCACCATTAAAGCCAAAACAAAGTAATATCAAACAGGCATTTCTACACACCCACTGAGAATATTATTGATAATTTAAAATATTTCAGACAGATGTATATGTCCAGGTTAGTGAAAGCTTTGGAGCTGTTAACACAGCTTTAATATTAAATTTGATTTTTCTAAAAAAATTATACACTTTGAGAACACTCCACACTTGAACACACAGAAGGTGATCTTTCACAACAGACATGGATTTTTTATGTTCACAATTTAAGTATATACTGCACAGAATAAAGGCAAGTAACATTTTGCATGGTGAAAATGATAAATGTTCAGCTATAAATATTTTAAAGGTTACTCTGAGCATCAGGTCACTTATTAATAGGATGTGATCATATGGAGGCTTTATCCAAATCGGTAGAATCTGAAAGCAACGCATTTCAGTATGTACATGCAGAGATGTCAGAAGGGAAGAGAAAAGGCATGCATTTAATGTTTAATTTTTTATATCTAGCTACATATAAGATGCCACATGCTTAGGGGAGGAGGGGGGTTCCAAGTCTTATTACTATAAGCCTCCACCTAGAAACAGATAAAGCCTAAAATCTGCAGATTAAACTCATTTCCAAACAGAGGCCTAGAAAGATTAAATCCTGGACTTCCAGTGTTAAAATCAAATTACAGGAAGAGATAGGGGAAACAACTGGCCACTGGTCGTGATTTTCTTTTTTATTTTGATTGCTATCTCTAATAAAAAAATATAAATTATGCCTTTCAGGAAATTTAACAAACTTAACACACTAAGCTGATTTACAGCAACATTCAATGCTCACATTTTATTTAAGTGCACAGCTTTTTTTAAAGGAGAACTAAAAAAAAAAGATTCCACAGCAATAAGATGTAAATGAAAGATAACGATAACACCTAACTATTGATTTAACGCATGCACCTTCCACATACAAGATGGAGTTTAAAACACAGTCACATGTCAAATAATATTGTATCATGGGAGCCAGCATGTTATAATCTCCACAATTGTCTTGCAACCTAAAGAGAACTGTTCCTCATTATTCACACGAAGTGGGCATTTCCGTCTCCTGCATGTAAGCTGTTGAAACTGATGTTACGATAATCTTTTTTTTTAAATATGATCTAAATAACATTTCAGGAAAAACATTTCATGTATACCAAATATTTATTTTCTCCTCTCCTTTAAGAACAAGACTCAAGCACACCAGGATATTAGTAACCCAGGGATCAGAGTGAAGCAGATTTAAAAACACTGCTTGCGTTCACCTAACACTGTATTTCAGCTTACACACTTCAGCCCAACACACCTGTCGGGCTGCAAAGATGCCAGGAGGACTAGCTGAGCGATTACACACTGCACTTAACACAGGATTAATGCAGCACTAGAGAGCGACAAATACAACACAAAGACAAAAATATAGATTTCTGAATACTTAACTGAACGTCTTCTGAACTGAACACACAAACTTATTTTATAGCTAGCAGTCATGTTTTTCCTGATTTTTTCAAGAAACTCTCCTCATGGATATTTATCTTAATTAAATAAAACAGACCTCTAGGTTTTAGGTAACTATTTTTGGCAGATACCTATGCTTTATTTGTTCAAGTAAATGATGTTTGGCTTTGCATGCTTAAATAAACTTTCATCTATCTTGGTATTCAACCTCTACCTTTGACAACTATCTTGTCAAATGTTAAGGACAGGAGATTGTCATGCTCTGCATGGGTAAACCCATTACCTGAGGTGGATTACTACCATTCTGAGGTATTACCATTCAAAACACTTGACCCCAGTAGATGCTATCAAACTAGTAAAAATGTCTACCCAAGTCAAATCCTCAGTCATATTGCCAAGTGTGCAAAGGGCATATAAAATGTTAGCTTTTGACCTTTGATGTGCATACACAACATGGTGCTATGTTAAGTCAATGTGGTTACATTATACGAGGTTCTCTTAACCTACACAAGTCAAGTAAACAGGCTCAACTCCACATTTTGTTAATGTGGAGCAGGATACTTGATCGAATGGTCTTCATTAGGATTTATTAAAATATGAGGGGAACGGTAACATACTACCATAAAAATAAAATGCTTCACATGTAAAATTATCCATAGCATCACTACATATGGGTCACTTATATATTTTCAAAACACAAAGTGGTCTGAACTAGGCCTAACTGCTTATCATTAAAAAGAAACTAGGTTGTTAGCTTCCCATTAGTGACAACAAGAACAATGTGCCCAAAGATCTCTTTTAAACTTTTAATAAAGTTAACTGCGCAAACGCCTTCCTTTTGTACCAACAATTCAAAATAATGTTAGGATCCGCTGTAGATTTGCATTCATTTTACTATACAAAATATTCCATAAGATTTCAAAGAACGTGCAGGTTCATATATGCCCCACCCATAGCCCATGGGGAACTGCTACTGTTTTTTTTATTAAAAACATTTATGATGAGCTATATTATGCAAAATTTAATAAACGGTTTAAATTAAGTGCTTGAAGACAAAAGTTATTTCTTGACGTTTTCATATGACCACAGGAACAAGAAGCAATATTGTTGTTTTTTTAAAAAACTATTTAATCCCAACGCAAACCCAACTCGTTTAACCACTGCTTCAAGCCCATGCTGCAACAAAGCACGGAAAAAAAAACAAGTTTCATACTGAATGTGCATAATCCTCAGGTTCAATGTCAAGTATATCAGATTTAACAGTCATTTTTACGGTGTAACTGTGATTCCAAAAAAGTGTCACTACGACCGTGCTAGCAGTAACACCAAGTAAGCGTGCGCAACACAAATCACATGCACAAAGTCGAGCGCAGAGTGATCGCGTACGGTGTCGAAAGTATTAAAAATACAAATGATGCATTAATTTTTATATAATCAGTAGAGTTGAAGCGTTGTGAATCGTTTAGTTCAACGAACATATTATCCCTCCCCCTAAATATTTCGATTTCTGTAACGCTGAGGTCCACACTGCTCTGAAATAGAAAGTATGGAGGTGGAGGTGGACACAATGCAGAAAGTACTATTTACTCGCTAAAGGACCGCGCTTTTAAAACACGAACTCTGATCACGTGGAAACGTGCTTCTTAAAACCAAGAACGATTGACTATCTATCATTTCAACACAACGACGGAAAGTAAACTCACAACTCATTTTTTCCTGTTTTTTCCCAGTTTTTGATCCAATCAGTAGGGAGGACCACCGCCGCCATCTTCCCCACTATACCGCACTTAGCCCGGATGTTTAGCACAAAGCACCGGGTCAAAGGACGCGCGCGCTAATGCATCTTGGGATTGTGGGGGAACGCTTGTTTATGGCTGGTGGTTGAAATTGTATCTAAAAAGCAATTTTATTTTTTAATTTATAATCTTTATTGTAATTTTGTTACAGTGGTGTAATTTGAATAAAGCTATGAGGTTTACGTTAGATTATGTTACCAGTCAATTATCTTAACAATGTAATGATTTTAGACAACATGCATTAAACATTTCAGATCAGTTGTTTGCCTATATATATAAAACATGGCGTTTTAGTTACGGGATACATTATTTGATTACTTCTCAGTAAAAGTCTGAATGCAGACATACATTTTGTGAAATTATTATTTCAGCTAAAATGCACTAGAAAGAAACAAGACAATATTCACTATCTTGGAAAACTGAAGTAAATTTAATTGAAATCAGTAACATTTTGTCTGCTAAAATTATTAGAGACCTTTGTACATTTGCAGGCTTAATTTGGATTTTGGGGAATTTATTGAGAATCAAGATAAACTGTGACAGAAACTGTTAGAATCCAAACCAGAAATCAGAAAACCTGAGTGTGAGTTAAAAAGAACCAGCTTTACTCAATCTGCAGAAAAGGATACCGGAGAGTGACAGAGTCCACCATCATATGAAAAACGCTCAATCAAAAGCAGGTGCAGATGCTTAAGTATACCTTATTTGTGTCACAAAAGCGTGTTTATTTGACAAAAAAGCTATTCACTCTAACAAATGCTTTTACTATGTGTTATTACATCTCAGGAAGTCTGCCAAGCATATTCTCTCCTCTACCTCCCAATTACACTACCTTTATTTTTCCTTTCCTGCATATCTCATGGGTTTCTGGTTAGTATGTCATTCCCATACTTGTTAGTGTGCTGAAACTCTGTGAGTTCAAAGACAGGCATTTGGCCTGCACAACCTGAGCTTTTCAGTCCTCCTGTTAACCGCCTAGCAACAGCCCAGGCAGATTACCTATGATACCTACATGGTTATATAAACATCAGCAGAGCACCCTTAGCTGCTCTAATCTGACATTTCAGGTCAATTGCACTCCTCATACAGCCTCAGGCTTTCCCTATTGGAAGGATTTAGATGGGAGGGAATTTGGAGTTTGTTTAGATCTGATACTATTTACTATTTCCTGAACTGGTGGTGAGAGGTTACTGGTAAAAACCTGGATGCTTTTCCCTGACTAAAATTATGACATAACTGAATTGTAGTCACGCTATTAAAACAGATGATGACAGAAATAGGCTCTGAGTGTCTCACTGTAAAGATAGCGGCTCGATCGGCAGCCACAGTGTGTTGCTCTTACATGTTTTGTTTGTTTTTGGGTGTTCAAGTTGTTTGTGGAGAATCAGACTGAAAAATCTTTTGCAATATGTATTTGTCCTCTCATTTCTGAAATGTATATTGTGTTCTATGTGTCTATGTATATATGGTATGTCTGTATATATATAGTGTATGAGCAAATCAGCAAGTCAGATTCCTTGTAAGTGAAACCTTACTTGGCCAATAAAGTGAGCTGTCTATCTAAGCGTGCTGAGAATTTTACACAGAATTTTATCAAGCATCGCAGGGTCTTCCAACCTCGTTTTGCTGTTCCTTGTTCTGGACAGACTTTTACTTTCCTCTTCTTGAATGATTGTTCTGCTGTATAACTACTGGACACTGCGGGCTAAACCACCTCTGTGAAAGAGCCTGACACTCGTGGGTAGAATGTGGATTCTAGTGGCATCAGACAATGCAGGCCTCTTGCACGTACCATCTTGTCAATGAGAAAATACCACAGTGTTGGCAACACCTGTATAGTCTGAGTTATTGATCGGCTCAGAAGAGACTACAATGGTATCGGCATTTTGTATCCCACAAACAGTGCCATGGGAGCATGTAATCTAATGAGCTGACTCAGTACAGTACTCATAGTGATCACCTGAACCATTCCCATGATTAAATTATTTCATGTATGTGGCCCATGCTCTGTCGTTCATTCTACAACTTCCTTCATAACTGAAACCTATAAGATACTTAACTATTACACAGAACTATGAAAGAAAGGGTATACCAGGAGACCTTCATCACACACACCCTGCCAATTCACTACTGATCTGCACAGTGTACTTCAACACAGAAATTCTAGTATTATATTTCTATAGCATCTTCATAATATGTGGCCTCCACAACATACATTATAAAATGTGTAATTTTTACCTTGGTTATTCCATAATAATATTACCAGGCACCTCTGCAGTAAAAAGACACAGCTCAGGCCACTAATACTCACATTGAAACATTTTATTTCTTAAACATTTTATAAAATTTCTTTTATTTCTCAGAATATTCTCCCTCATGTCCAAGTCTATGATGACTTGGTGGTTCATTTGAGCAAATCCTCCTCAGATCCCAAAGGCCTTGTTCCTTTATCAGTCCTCATCTCCCTCCTGTTGGGGAGTGAGCGCTTTCCCAAGCTTCCAGCAGATATCCAGTATCATGTTATTGAAGTTTACTGCTGGGGCCTCTAGGTAGTGGCTGAAATCACTGAGAATAGTAAAAATAGGTTCTTCATTCTTCGAGCCCTCAGCCATCACACCACCTGCAATGAAATAACAGCTGCCAGCCATCCTGTTGGAAGGAACAGAATATAGTTGATAAGACTAAATAAGTAAGAAATACGAAAAGTTACTTCCACCTGTGTCCCCCAGCAAGTGTTTCACTAGCGATATTGATGTCCAGTAGATTGACTTCGACAAGCCCTTTGAGGATTTTGAAATGTTATATTAGGTCCCTTCTTAATCTTTTCTGTTGCAGACTTAAATTGTTCTGTATTTTCTCCCAAAGAAGTCAGTGCAGAACAACCCCTTAAGCTCAGAACTCCACCTCATCATTCTTCTCTAGAGCGATCTTTTCTTTTGGCTTGATAACTAAGAGTCTTTCAGCAATATTCTAGTTCCGTTAAATCTTTTGACTGGTTATCAAGAGTAGACCCATACTCCCACAAGACCCTGCAACCTTATTAGCATAAAAAGTTGTAATTGACAGCTTACCCACACTTTGCCAAATAATGTCAGGTTTTCATTGCACTAGCTAGATATTGCTTCCTTTACAGCAGATAGTAGCTTGATTTGACAAAATGAGATTCTTGGCTTTTGGATTTCTACATACTGGCTAGATTTAAGGTATGGTCTCCTCAAAGGGTACCATGAGCTTTTGGGCACAACACAAAACACAAGACAACTGAGGATACAGCACAGAGACAGACAACATTCTGCTGCACTTGCTAGATGTGGTTCGGCACAGACACACAAAAAAAAACAGACACAGAGGGCATCTTTTCCAGTTGCAGGGATGCTGAAGAGCTGTGGAGCCACACAGAAATCTCCATCGTCCTGCTTATATTGATATGGCTTTTTAGCTGCCCCTCATCCTGGATCCCATTCACCAGCATTTTATTTCTACCCATAACATTATATGCAATTTCCGTTACTTCTGCATTCCTTCTTTTCACTGGGTCTCCTGTCTCTCTCAAACTGCATGTGATATTTTCACCATTACAACATACATTGTACTTACAACTGCACATTCACACTACACTGTCAGTTCCATCTTTATATTGAGATTGCTGAGATGCCTTTTATTCTTTTCCGTTATTCTTAATATACAGTAATACCCCGCAATCTCAATTGATGAAGGCTTTAACAAAGACGTGTCTACTCACACACATGCTTGCTCCTGCACTGCTGTTTTAGACATACACACAAAATTACTACACAAAACACGTTTTGATCTCAGTTGTTGTCTCACCACATTTTAGTTCTTGGAATTCCTCCAAGCAGTTCTTTGAATTGCGCCAGCACTATCTGGTGTGGAGCACCAGCGCCTCTGACCTCTCTTGTGTTTGAACACCAGCACTTCATGTTGACTCTCAGCTACTGGTTCACTGAATTAAGTTTCTTATTAATGGTTGTCTTTGTAGTTTTCATCAAGCTGGAATCAGAATTTATTGTATTTATACTCTGTTATACTGAACATCATCACTTTTAATCATTTCTGGCAAGCTCGCATCCCTCAGCTCTCTCCAGTTCCCAGATCAAACACAGATATATGATTTCACAGTCTTAACTGTAAAATTCAGGCTATGAAGTAGTCCAGATATTTTTAGATTCTTAGTTATTTCTATACATTGATCCAAACTAGAAGTCATACAGATTTTGTAATCCTGTATCTTAACATCCCAAGTTAAAATGAACAGATTAATGTCATGTTTAAGTAATAAATGGCAGGCATTAAGACTAGGGAAGGGAGTATTGGCATTACTGCTTTTTTTCAAGCACTGCCTCCAAACGGATCTCTATTCCTCCTTCAGCTTCAGCCTGTGTCCTTTTGAAGTAGCCCATCTCTCACAAGTCCACTCACCCATAAAATAAAACTACATTTTACGTCAGTTTACATCAGTATTATTGTTTTTTAGATAAGTTTTAATCTTAACTTATCAAGCCTTACTAGTGCTGGCTTACATTCCAATTGCAAATTCTTCAAGGCTTTTCCCTACCTGATTAATAGCATAAATCCACCCATGAAAACAACAAGTTTCAGAGTGTTCTCAAAGATTCTCATGTACACATGTACATTGTGTACTCATGTACAAGTACATTTACTTGTAGATACTTTACCACAATTCTTTTATGTGTACAGGTATGTGAAAATATTGTTTCATTCAATACGATTAGATCACAATGAAAACAAACAAAAAGAACATATACATATAATATACACAGGTGAGATTAGTTACAGTGCTGGGTAGAGGACTCTTAATTTCATACAATTGGTTTATCACACTGTGAATAACATTATAGACATAGAATTACCAAGAAATCTTACAATACTAGGGGTGAAAGCAGATGTTATTCATATAACAAAACAGGCTTACTTGTTAAAAATTCTATTAATTCTGCAGAAAAGTCTATTACACTAAACCGGC